GGGGTTGAGCTGCCATTGCTTGCTTTGAACAAGCTCAATCACCCACCACCTTTTTTGGTGCTTCCTGGAGCTCCAGGCTTGCTCCTGAGGGTGCAGCCCCAGATTGAGGACCCAGAGCTGGTTCTTAATCAGCATGTTTTTAATCACTTTGTTAGCTTTGCAGGCTGCCTTCACAGGAAGCAGTATGGGCTTGCTCTTGCAGAGAGTTGTGTGTGCGCAGTGTGGTAGGTAAGATGCCACCATCCTTGTCCAGTTGGTGAAAGAATTAGGCCCCGGGAGCAGGCTTTGGGGTTTGGGTCTTGTTTGCATCTCCAGCTGCCTGCCTGGATGGCTCCTGAAATACTGCCCTCAAAGAAAACCCCAACCTGGTAGCTTGGAGGAGGCGTCTTTCAGCTGCTGGGGAAGATGGTGAGAGAACAAGAACTGAGGCAGAGAAGAGGCTTCTGTTAGGTTTTGGCTGCCCACTTGCTGCTCTATGGTGGCTGCTTTTGTTTTGCATTCCTGCAGCTGAGGAAACCCCCTCAGCAGCCCATGTGCTGTGGGTTTCAGAGCACCCCCCACCTTCCCCATGCAGCAAGCACAGTGCTTGGGGACATGAAGGAGTGCAGGGGGTGGGGGGGTTACTTTCCTTTTGCAGTGTCTGTCCTGTCAGGGACAAGCAGAACAAGGGAGAGGAAGCTGGTGTCGGAAAACTGCTGGTGAAACACCTGCAGGCTGGATTTATGGAGTGGAGATGGAGGTTCGGTTCGGTTCTGGCCAGCCATGATCAGGGTAAGGAGGCTCTGTATTTCAATAAGGTTTTAGAAACTCTGGAGTGATTTCAAAGGAGCACCATGAGAATGATTGGATTTGGGGAACGGACTTCACAGCGTGTTTGTTGGCATCCCTTGCAACACAGGAGCTCTGTGAATGGGCCTGCAGAGCTTCACGCTCTGAGAGCCGGTGCAATGAGGAGGTTCTACACTTGTGCAAGGAGTGATCCTTCCTGGTGCGTGCCAGCACGGGGTGTGGTGGTCATTGCACCAAGTCGAGTCAGCTCGTGATGGATAAACAGCAATTAAATCCGCCTTCTCCTCAATGGGAGCGAGGTGGGATGGAAGGATTGCAAGCCCCGTGCTCCCCCTCTGCAAACCAGCTCTGTTCCCTTTGGACAAACACTCTCTGCTCTGCTTCCCTCTCAGGAGTGTTTAACTCACCTGCCTCGAGTGTTTGGGCTTTTGTAACCAGATCACCCCAGTGGGTTTGTCCCACGGTGCAGGGACCCAGCCAGCTGCAGCGTGCTCTCGGTGTCAGGTGCCTCCTGCACGCCAGCAGCGCTTATTTTGGCCACAGGAATGTCTATAAATAGCCCCGGGACAGGAGGCATTCACCAGTGCCCCACATGAGTCTGCATCAGAGCCAGCCTTCAACCCTTCCCTCTGCATTGGAGCACAGAGGAGAGAAAAAGCATCTCTGAGGACAACCCAGCAGTGACCAGTGTCACGTTTGGGTCATGTTTTTAACCTGATTCCTTGCCTCCATCCTGATTCTCCCTGGTTCCAGTGTGGCTCACTGCCCAGGCATGGCAGGGAGCTGCTTTGTGGATGCTTCACAAGGTTTGGTCACCACCTCCCAGACAGGTCCATCTGCTGTAACTGGGGAGCGGGTGGTTTCAAATTGTTCATTTGCGGTTTATAATGATTTAGAGAATTAACTGCTGCATGGAAATGCCTTTTTGTCAGGGCAGTGCCACATGGCTCCTGCACACCAAGATGCTCATGGTCATAGTTCCTACAAACTTCCAGCTAGGTGGATCTGGGAGCAGGCCAGCTCCAGGCCTGTTCTGGGAAATGGTGCAACTGGATTTTGTTCCCCAACTGGGACAGCTGTTTCACTTCCCCTTTCCTCTTCATCCTTCTTCCCAAGCCAAAAATGCCTCCCCATCAACTTTGGCAAATCTCAGCCTCTCCCCACCCTCGCTGTAGGGATGACTCAACCCAGGAGACCCTGAGGCTTCTTCTGTCTTGCTTCCTCCCTGGACATGTGGTGCCTTGGCAGGAGTTTGTCTGGCCAAACTCATTTTGGGGCTGTTGCAAGCTGTGCATATCCTTTGCTGGACTGTAAGCTGTTGGATAATGGGATGCTGGAAACAGCACTATCTCTTGACACAGCACTGTATAGGAATGTGGCAGCACAACTTAGTGCCTATGGATAGGACAAGCCCTCGGTGCACATCCCTGTGACTGACAACTCCTAAAATGCCATGACTTGGAGTGCCCAGATCCAGATCTGAAACTGCTGAGTGCGGTTCCCCCTTGCAGGGTTCCATGTGCACAGGGCTGGTGTGACCCCATGTTTGAGCAAAGCACAGTCACACCAGCTCGTCCTCTGCCTCCTGACCTTGCAGAGGGACAGACTTGAGTCTTTTGGGGTAGCTTTGCTGTGGACATCTCCATGGGGCTGGGTTTTCCAGCAGCGTTCCCAGGAAGAGGGTGCAGTGCAAGGGTGGCTGGTTTGTGTGGAACTGGAGGCTGCGTGCTTCTGGCAGAGCAGCTAAAAGAGACAGCAAGCCTTAATATAACACAGAACGAGCCCTTCAAACCCTAGATCCCTTCATGGGAGAAGATTTGGCTTTTCAAGGGAAGAGAAATCTGGGTTTTAGGAATTCCTGGTTACATCTCAGTGTTTGGAGATGTTGAGATGAGACAGCCAGCACTTGCTAATGGTTTGCATCCTCTGATGAGGGGAGCAGGTTGTTCTGTGTAGCAATGGAGAGGGTTGGGAGCTATGAACTGGCTGGCGGAAGGACTGTAACAAAGATGTAAGTTATCTGGGGGGAAGGAAGGAAAGGAAAAAGAGGAAATGTTTCTATTTGCTCATCTCTTTTGCTGCTCAGGCTCAGAGTGTCTCTGTCACGGGGAATTCCTCTAGTCAGTGGCACAGACAGGCTCCAAGTTCGTGCAGGATGACCTCGCCAAGCTGTGTGCTGAGGGTCTGCTTGGGTTTACTGTAAGCTAGTGGGGGGCCTGGTTTAGTTTTGTTTCCTCCTTGCTGTCCTCAAACCAGCACAGAGCCTGCAGAAACACCCAGGACGGGAGCCCTCCTCCGAGGGTACCCAGGCTCTGCAGAGGCAAAGGCCTGGTTGGGACAAGCCAGGTATTGCTGCCTTCAAATCCTGCCTGTATGGCAGGGGCTTTGCTTCCTGCCTCAGTTTCCCCAAAAGTGGGATATTTTAGTGAGCTCCAGGGAGAGCATCCCCTGGAGTTTAATCTATCCATCGCTTGAGGGATACAGCTCTGAATCATGACTCTGTTTGTTCCTCTGCTGTCCTTGCTACAGTTTAAAACACAGGCACCAGGTAGCTCCTGAAACAGGTCTTGAATAGTGGGATTTTAGGGTGTTCTCCCTACCTGTGTCTGGGCTGCCTGTTAATAGTGTAAATCCTCTGGGACAGTTTCCTCCCAGGAAGGGGTAAGAGCTGCTGAGCTGCAATGTACCCGGGTGTTGTGAGAACATCTGTGCATCACCAGGGCACCCAGTGGCTCTGCAGCTAAACCACTGCTGCCTGTTTGCTTCCACAGGGGATTTACCTTCTGGATTAGTTGGGACGGGGCAGGTTCATGTGTGCTGTGTGATGGGATGTGGGAATGTGGCCATGATTCTTCAGGCTCAGCAGTTCTTTCCCACGTAAGGGCTGGGACCAGCTCCATGCAGGAACACGCCTGGCTCTCCCATCTTACCTAAGAGCTCCAGAGGGATTCACCCTTCAAGCAGGGAGGGTGTTGGAGTTAGATCTATTCCTGTTTTCAAGAGCGTTGTTGGGAACAGCTTTCCAGGGACCATGGAGTGTTCTGTGTCCCCTGGATAACTTTTATATGGAGACTGGAAGCAGCTTCTCTGCCTCTAGTAATAATTGAAGAGGAGAAAGCAGTTTTTTGGGGACAAACCAGACTCAACCAGAGCAAGTTCTTGTTTTTTCAGTCTACCATGGAGCTGGAGAGGTTTGGCAAAGAAGTATCAGGTCACTGAAACACTGCACTTGTGGCTGATGTGTTATTGTGTTTCAGCTTGTCACCAGCCAGACAAATAAAGGTAGTGTATAGAGCTGAGATTACATCCCTCGTGAGTAATCTCCCCGCCTGAATGCCAAGTATGTGTGAGACGGGGACCTAAATAGATCTGTAAGCTGTAGGGGCAGGCAGAGGCCGGTGGGTCAGCTGGGAAAGGGATATAGGATTTGGGGGTAAGGGGATTTCTAGGATTTCTAGCAGCTTTTGCAGCAGCACATGGCTCTGTCTGTATCCAGTGCCTTCTGCACCCTCTGAGGCCTGTGCAGTGCAGTGCGGCCAGGCGATTCCTACCAGCCTGTGTTTGAAAGTCAGGGGCAGCTCTCAGCTGCCTGGCATCAGTACCCAGCATCATGGTGCTCCCTCGGGCCACCTGCAGCAAGCAAACCTCTGTCTCTTCTCAGGATGCTGAGATTTAGCTGCTGGACTTGGAGCATCTTTTTGACCTTGAAGCAATGTCTCTCCCCAACCAGGTTTTTCCCATGGCAGGGCCCTGAGACCGAGGAGGGGACTTGTCCATGCAGAGCCAAAAACATTGCTCAGAGCTCTGGGTTATTTCTGTTCTGAACTGCTCTGTGATGGCTGCACCACTGCAGAAGCATCACTGAAACCCCACTGCAGCATTGGCTGTAAAGGAGCAGGTTGTGCAGCACAGCAGGTTCTGAGCCTGCTCAGCACACAGGGAAGTTGGTTGTGCAGCCACAGCCATGCTGCTGGGCTGTCTCTGAAATGTGGATGAGTCTTTATGGGTGAGGTTCTCACTATGAGTTACTGCCTTTAGGGTACTCTTAAACCCAGTTGCTACACCCTGTAAGTAACCTGCATCAAGGTTTAGCAAGCTGAGGGATTAAAGAAAGCTAGTTAATGCTGCCTGTGAGTGCATTGGCATCTCCATCTGCCTCCTCAGTGGGCTGTCGAAGGGTGTTTCAGCTGTCTCATCTCTTCCTTTTGCAGCTGCAGAGCTACTTTGCTGCCTGTGAAGATGAGACACCAGCCATCAGGAACCATGACAAGGTCCTGCAGCGTCTCTGTGAACATCTGGACCATGCTCTGCTCTATGGGTAAGTGTGCAGCTGCTAGGGTGCTTTTCACCCAGTGTGCAGCCTCGGTTTGGGGAAGCCATCTGGGCAGTCACTGGGACGGAGGTAACACAGCCCTTCCTGAACCTTCCTCTGGGTTTCTTTCTACTTCCAGCCTGCAAGATCTTTCTTCAGGCTACTGGGTGCTGGTCGTTCACTTCACCCGCCGAGAAGCCATCAAGCAGATAGAGGTGCTTCAGCACGTGGCCACCAACCTGGGGCGCAGTAAGTGCTCACAGACACTGCCCCGGCTCTGAGGGCAAACAGCTCTGGGCACATCTGACAGGAGGCCCAGGCAGGCTGTGCTGATGTGGTCGAGGGCTGGGGCTGCAGCAGAGTGAGGGAGGCAGCAGGCAGCTCAGGGCCAAGGAGGTGGGAGTCCTGCCTTAACCGTATGCACCGTGCCTCAGGATCAGGTGCCTGATGCTGCTTCTCCCTTGCTGCAAGTTGTCTGTAGTGGATGTTTGGGACCATCGAGGCTGCTTTTGACACAGGACGGTGCCCAGAGACCTCCTCTCTGCCTGATTATCCCAACACCCTTCGTCTCCCAAGCCCGTACTGGTGAGAGCGGAGCTGAGCACAGACTCCCCCATCACCTCTCTGCACCAGAATGTGTGTAATGTCTCAGACTGCTCCTGTGCTGATTTAGAGTGATTCTTCCTCCATCTCTCCTGTCTCCTGATCCCTGGAGATGCCCACAGGGCTCCCATCTCACTAGAGACACACAATTGTGTGTCTGCTTCTTCTCAACCAGCTACCACACAGGCTCTTATTCCCATTCCCACTCCAAATCACAAATCTGCCCCTTCACTTCCCACTGGCATTTTCCCCCCAGATTTCCCCAGTGGTCAGTTCCTTCCCTGGAATGATACCAATGTGAATGGATGATCTGACATGTTTTAACTGATTCATGGTTATTTCTGGGCTTGCTTCACTTCTCAGTATTTCTCCAGAAATGAATCTCTCTGCTCCTTTGTTTTCAGGCCGGGCATGGCTGTACTTAGCCCTCAATGAGAACTCCTTGGAGAGCTATTTGAGGCTGTTCCAGGAGAACCTAAGCCTGCTGCACAAGTACTATGTCAAGTGAGTATCCCAGCTCCTTGTCTGGGCATTGGTGGGCATCCCTTCTCAGAAGCCAGCCCTAATTTGCCAGTGGGGAACAAGCAGCTGATCAGGGTCTGACTTTTCCTTTGTGGTTTTGCATGATTAATTTAAAGGTCCCAGTTGCGAGCACTCTGTCCTATAAGAGAGCCTACAAGCATCTCTCCTAGTGACTGCTTTTACTCCCCATCCCAGCTGTACTGTTTATATTCTTCCATGTTTTCCAAGGAGCTACTGAGCTCTTGGGACTCAGCTCTGGCAGACACTTGGAAATCTGCCTGTAGCCTGGCTGGGGACAGCACACAGCGGATGTATGACTGCTCTGAGCTGCACACATCTGCCTTTAAGCTTTGGCACTGCTCTTAGGAGGCAGACAGCAGGGTCACAGCCCCGGGGCAGTTTATAGGGCAGCTCAGAGACACACAACCAAGAAAACAGAAGGGCACTTGTAGCTGTTTCTTCTCTTTCTCACATCTCTAAAGCTGTTTTGTTCAATCCATGCTGCAGGAACGCCCTGGTTTGCAGTCATGATCATCTGACCTTGTTCTTAACACTGGTGTCCGGGCTGGAGTTCATCCGCTTTGACTTGGATCTGGTGAGTGTTTTACCTGTTTGCCTTGGCTCAGGGAGCAGGTATTGGGGGCAGGGGGAGGCCTGGGTGTGACAGGTCCCACTGCTTGCTCCAGGCTGTACCTTCTTGTTGGCCTTCAGCTGAGAACGTGAAGGTGCCACTTTTAGACAAGGCTTTAGGCTGGGGTCTTTGGGGATCCAGCAGTGGGATTTATTCCTATTGCTCTGCACAGTTCAGGAGAGGAACATGGCAGCTGCTGGGCAGCGTAGTGGGGTAGAAGAGCTGAGCTCTGCAAGTGTGGCACGAAATGCTGGAGTCCCTCCAGGTGAACACAAAGCCACTGGGTTTCCTCTGAAAGGCAGAAATGGGCCCTCAGAGGACGTTCAAGGACAGTCCCATCATTTCAAGTGCTAATAATTGTGTGGTGACTCAGAGCCTGACTCACCCTGTGCTCTCCTCTCTGCAGGATGCTCCTTACCTGGATCTAGCCCCATACATGCCAGATTACTACAAGCCTCAGTACCTGCTAGACTTTGAGGATCGTCTGCCCAGCTCCATGCATGGCTCAGACAGCCTCTCCCTCAACTCCTTCAACTCAGTCACCTCCACCAACCTGGAATGGGATGACAGTGCCATTGCTCCATCCAGTGAAGGTCAGTGGTTGTTTGGAGTTGGGATGTGCTCCCACATCCCCTTTGGCTGAGCTGTCAGAGTGGATGAGGCAGCAAATGATGGGCTGGAAAAGACCAAAGCAAGAGAGACCCAGAAGTTAGGCTGTGAGTGTCTCCTGCCTTGCCTTGGGAGGTGCTGGGACTTAGACTGTGGACAGCCCCTTTGCCTCAGACTGGGAGAGGAGGACATTCCCTGCTAGTCACCTCAGGCCACCTCTCCACCCTGCGGCTGTTTTAGCAAGAACTGGAGAAATTTGCCCATGGAGTGAAAGCCAAGCCCCTGTCTGAATGTGCCTTCCAGTTCAGAGCAGGCACACAGAGCTGCAGAGGACCTTTTTAAACTGCTTTTTTTGCAGTCCAGAGACCCACGTACGATGGAGGTGGTGGGGAGTAGTTTCCAGGGACTTTTCTCCATGTCTGCAGTCTGAGGAAAAGGCAGCCAGTGGGCTCAGAGGTGCTGGTTTTCCCTCTATGCATCTTAACTTGAGCAGCGTGACAAGTTGTCCTACTCGTCCCCTCATCCCTATCAGAGGGGGCTGGATGTTCTTCGTGGATGTTGGACATACTTTGTGCCTGTGTCCTTAACCTGCTTCAGGCTGGAGCAGGGAGCTCTTGCCCTGCACGAAGCATGTTCACATGAAGGAGCAGCTCCAGAATACGTTACCCCTGTTCCCTTTTTGATGCCAGTCTGGACAAAGCAAGATCAGGCAGTTCTGGAAGGAACAGATGGGGTGATGAGTGCTGTGAACTGGGTGCAGTGAATTCAGGACTGAGTCCATGTACGAATGGGTTCCCTCTGAGACAAGGGTCCCCCATTTGCCTTTAATGTGTAAGATAGAAACAGCAGACATTAAAGATGCTGGGAAGGAACAGCCTGGGATGGGTGTTAGCATCCTTTAGCAAAGGATTTTGAAGCACAACCCTGGTTTGGGCTCACCCATGGTATCTGCACTTGTGCTGTAAGTGTGGAAGGCTTTGCTTCCCAGGACTTGCTTATGCCAAACCTCCAGGATCTCAGGTGGAGACAGCAAGAGGAGCCTTGCAATGAAAGTCTCAGGAAGAAGCTTCTCTGTCCTCAGGGGTTTGACATAAGCAGCAGTTTTAGTCCTTGCAGCGTGCCCTGGGCTTGTGTTCCTGTTCCTCCCTCAGCAGAACCTGTCTTGGTGCCAGCAAGTCTCCTTCCTGTTCCTATTGACTGGGCAAGGGGAGTCACTTGGGGTAGGCCATGCTCTCTAGCCCCTGTGGTGGATGGAAGCTTAATGCTCATGAGAAGAGGGGTTTGGAGTAGAGATCCAAGAGATTTTGCAGCTAGATTTTGGATTTGGCATCATCACAAGCTATCCCGTGTGCTCGGGCAGTGGTTGTGATCTGTGTCTCAGTTTCCCTGTGCATAGAAGGGTTCAGTGGTGATCCAGAAATGCCATCCTCTGTGGAAGGACCAGGACAGTGGAGGTGCCTGAGCCCAGGCAGTGCCACTGTTCCTCCTGCTTGGAGGAACTGAACCTCAGTAACTGTTTCACTGCTCATCATTTCAACAGGAGCATCTCCCTGCCCTGCAAGTGTAGGTGGAGTTCGGGATTTTAGGATCAGTGGACAAGTTTTTCCCTGTAATCACACTTTGGAAGAGTTAATGAGTCAAACATCACAGTGTTTATGGGATGTAGGTGTGAAGAGGGAAAACCGAGACACAGATTGACTAAATTGCTTCCCAGAAGGGATCCCAGCCATGACATGACCATGTTTCTGTTTTAGCTTTCCCTCATCCCTCGCTGGTAGCTCCCATAACACAGACATCCCACAGAACAACCAGTGGTGCAGCTGATTTCCATTTGCATCCATGTTCCCTAACTATTTTCAGATACCAGTGGAAAATTGTTTTGTTTTTTCTCCTTTCCCATCTCCCTCCCCAGATCCCCCTCACACTCTCCCCTGTCCCTTCTCCCTCCCCACTACTTGCATTTCTAATCCTGAGTTTTATCCCTCATTTTTGTAGATTATGATTTTGGAGATGTCTTTCCAGCAATGCAGACCATGCCCAGCAGAGACTGGGAAGGTGGGACATACTCATCTGTTACAACCTTTTGGTTTTCTCTCTGCATTGCTGCCACCTGAAGCTTGCTGCATGCTTCCCAGTTCAGTTCTTTAACATGCAACCACTGCATCTTGATGGAATTCAGTAGAGGCAGAAAGGAGCAGAAAGGATCCCCCAAGGTGGGAGGTTGTGTGTCTCATCTATGAGGCCACGTGCAAAGCTTTCCCAGCTCCTGGTGCATGCAGGCACACTCATCTGGTGTGTATCCTGGAGCAGAGGGATGTTTTCCTGCCTCTGATGATGCCTCTGTGTCTTCTAGACCAGGTTACAAAAGAAGAGCTTCAAAATCACTGCCCAAAATGAGTGAGACATGCCAGCTGAGGAGATCTCTTCCTGTAGATCTCCTCTTTGGGATAAAGCACGCAGGGTGCTGATGGAAAAGCTGATCCAGTCGTTGATTTCCTGAAAGCCCTGGAAAGCAGCTGAATTAATTCTGCTTTCTTTAACTGGGGGCCTTTTGCAGGGATTGGTTTGGGAGGTTTTGTGTCCCTTGCACCCTGCTGTGCTGTGTCAAAACAGCTTTTGAAGCCACAACATCCAGCACATGGCTCTGCTCAGTTTGGGTCTCTATGCTTTTTATATTACCACTTTTAAACCCAATTTGTCAACTGTGTCTGGCCTTTATGCACAAGAGCATGTGCCCGTTGTAGAGGAACTTGTTCTCCTTCCTCCACATGCACTCCCTGTGCATAACCTTTACACATCACAGGAGTAGGAGATGTCTCTGCTTCACCCCTGGAGGAAATCCACCCATGCTCTGTCCTTTGCAGCTCAAAGTTGGATGGGGCCTTGGGTCCAAATTGCCTTGGCTGGTACCACCTCATTATTTGGGGAAAGTCTGCCTGAATTCCATGTGGATTGCTCTTGGGCTCCAACACGCTCCTTCTCATCTTCTTTCTTACCATGTGGAGATGGTTTAATGTGTCCCTGAAGCCTGGGTGTCCATGTAGAGGGTACAAACCACGTTCCCAAACCCAACACCCAGCAAACAGCTTAACTGTGAGTGTTGGTTGCAGGCTGGGAGAAGCCAATGGATGCCAGGGGCAAATCCCTCTGGCTTTTGTGGAGCTTCCCTGTGCAGGTCCTGCTTGCAAGGTGGCCAGTGTGAGCCACCGCAGCTCTGGAATGGGTGAGCCGAGCAAACCTTGGCTGTAGCAAAGCTTTCATTATAACCCCTGCCAGGTCAGTGTCCTGATGCATTCCTTGCTCTTTGTACACAGAGCTAGAAGAACTGGGTTAAGAAGGTTGGGGCAGATCCCTGTTTTCAACACATTTTGGGGTAAAATTCTGTATTTTGGTCAAAGATTGTTTTGTCTCAACAGAACTATCAAGTGACATTCATTGTGGTGATGCAGGCTTGAAGCCTGGGGCTGAAATACCTTTTAAATGGTTTATTTCCCCTTTACCATGGGATTTACATCCCCTGATGGAGTTTCAACCCCTCCACGTTCAGGGCAGGCATTTCAGCAGGAGCAAAGCAGTGTTTTGAAATGAGCCATCACACAACTGCCTTTATCAGATGTTCAGAAGAAGTTTCATTTTCCTACTCAAACCCTGTGCCCCAAACCAGTCCGTAGGGCTGTGGTTTCCTTCAGACAGGGTCTCCCTGCCTAGCAACAGGTTCCTACGTGGCTTTGGATATGTAGGGTGCTGGGGAAGAGAAGGGCATGGATAACCTTCCCTTAACCATGACTTTGTGGATGGGTAACTCCGAGCATGACTCCTATAGCCCTTCTCCACTGCTCCTTTTCCCTCTGAAGACTAACATGGGTGAGGCTGGTTGTGCTATGACCTGTCTGTGCAGCCTGCTGTCCTCAGACCCTGCTGAATGCTGTGTCCTGCCCTCCAGCACACTTCCAGCTTGTGTATGTCTCATGCAAGCAGGCAGCTCCGTAAGGGTCACTGCTCTATGGGGTGGCTCCATTCCTGCCCTTCTACTGAGTGAGCATCTTCCTAAGACCCTGTTGCAGAGGAGAAGCAGCAGTGTGGGGCAGCAGCTTCGCTGGCTCACTGGCATCCTACTAAGGAGCACCACGGCCCCAAGACCCCTCCAGTTCCTTCCCAAGGATGCTACTTCTTAATCCAGCTGCTGGCTCCTGGGGACCGAGCTGTAATTTCCAGCTAAATGTCTAAATCCCAGCTTAATGCCTCTGTTGTCTAAATTGCAGTGGGTGCAAAGCACAGAGCGATGCTGGTGGCACGCTGGCCTCTGTCCTTCCTCACAAGCAGCCTGCTGCCTGCAGCAATCTCTGAACTGAAGCGGGTGTGATGATGCTCTGCGGGTACCTGGGGTGGTGTCACTGCCAGCAGTGTGGTGACCATGCGATGCCCCAAGCCCCCAGCACACCGCTTTGCTTGATTTGACTTGATCTGGTGCCTGAGCTGACGTTCATCCACCTCCTCCCTTCCTGTCTTTGCAGATGGAGACCTCACGGACACACTGAGCTGCCCGCGCTCCACTGCCTCGGAGGCGAACGGCAGCAAAGGCTCCGCGAAGAGCCCGACGCAGCGCCACAACCCCTTCAACGAGGAGAAATCGGACGTGGCGTCCTCCACGGAGACCACCCCGGTGCACACGGCTTCCCGGGAGAAGGCAGAGGGCACCCCTGAAGGGACGGACCAGTCTGAGAGCTGCACGGAGCTGGAGGTCATCAGGTGGGCACCGAGCTGCCTGGCCTGGAGACGTGGCTCTGGGTGTCATCTGTCACCACAGGTTGATGATGTGCCCCCCCTTGTAGCCCAATGGAGGCAGCATCTGTGCGGTAGCCTTTGTACAATCCCAAGAAGGTGGTTTTGTACCTCTGGACACCAACTGATGCCCTGTAGGTGTCAACAGAGCTGGTCCCTTGGGTCTGTAGAGCTACGGGCTGGCTCAGCATAAACACCTTTGCCTGACACTATCAGAGAGCTCAGAGGAAGCCAGGAGCTTTTAGCTGTGGTTTTCTCCAGCTGGTGGCAGGTTTGCAGCAGCTCCAGGTCTCAGATCTTCTCTCCCGTCCTTCCTCTTTGTTTGTCCATGAGCTGTGGTTAAACCTGTCGAGGGAGATGCCTCCTGCATCCTGTGTTTGACTCTTCCAGAGGAGGCCCCCAGGGGACCCTTGCAGCCTTTAACCCAGACAGAGCTCAAGGCTCCGTCTGCACCCCAGAACCAGCCCAGCAGGCCTGTGCTTTGTTCTCACTCCCTGTTCTTCCTGAGAGGAGCTGGGCTGTGGCGCACACACACCGGAAGGGGAGCACTGCACTCACTCCCCAACCAAGAGTGGCCTGACAGCAGTTTTTGTGGCCACGGGAGGCCTGAACAGTTCCACAGCTGGAACCCCGGAGTGCCGTTCCCTCCAGCCTGCATCTCCCTCTTCTGGCAGGCAGGGACACGGCATTCCCATGGCCTCTTGAAACCTCCCTTCCCAGCATCTTGCTCTCAGGGGTTTCTCTCACCTCACTTTAGCTCCGTGTCCATTTGCGATCCCCTTCACAGTCAAAGGAAGCGCAGGATGCTGCATCTGGCAGCTGGAGCCTCTGTTCTTTTTGGATGGGTGGGAAACAGTGTCCATAGCCTGCTTTTCTTGTGGTGGCTGGCATGGACGCAGGGCTCTGTGTGGCTACAGTGTTCTGTGCAATAGGGAAAGTTGCAAAGGATTAAGACCTCTAGACTGGATATCAGGAGAATTTCCTTCCCCAAAGGGTGCTCAGGCATTGGAACAGGCTGCCCAGGGCAGGGCTGCAGGCACCATCCCTGCAAGTATTCACACACCGTGTAGCTGAGGCCCTCGGTGCCATGGGTTAGTGGTGGGGGAAGGTTGGACTTGATGTTCTTAAAGGTCTTTGCCAACCTGGTTGATCCTGTGGTTCTATGGAAGGGATCCCTCTCTGTGCCACAAACACCTACGCAGGCGCAGACGAGGAACATCTCTCATTGTCTCTCACCACGCAGGTTGGCCAAGAAGAAGAAAACAGGCAAGAAGAAGAAAGCAAAGCACGAGGAGCCCGTGAACACCCCAGCACCCACAGCACCCGAGGCCAGCGGCGACAGCGGCATCAACGGGCTGAGCGACAGAGAGGACCCTCAGAGAGGTGACCCCGGCCCCGGCGGGCAGGAGGAGGGTGCCGAGCGCTCTGCCCTCAGCCAGCTGGCGCTGCGCATCCCCGAGATGAAGGACACGTCCATGGAGAGCGTGGGGCAGCCGCTGAGCAAGGTGATGGACAGGCTCAACGGGCAGCTGGACCCCGGCGGTGCCTGGAGCGCGCCCCTCGAGCCCCCCGGGCAGTCCTTTCGGACTGGCACGCCAGGGGAGACCCCGGATGGATCGTCCTCTGGCGACTTTAGTGAGGGGATTTCAGCCCCCATGGACTTCTACCGCTTTACCATCGAGAGTCCAAACGCTGCTGCACCAGGTGGTGGCCACCATGACACTCCAGGGCCTGGCCAACCGCCACATGTTTCTGGTAGCCCTGAGGCTCCTGAAGAAGAAAGCGGAGAAGGAGAAGCAGTTGGGGAAGTAGAGGAGTCTGGAGGGGCGAGTGATGAGCCCCAAACTGGCCACACAGACACCACGGAGCCCCAGGCTCTCTGTGAGCCCAAGAAGGAGCAGCCCAGCCCTTCCCCAAGCAGCGCTGAGGACTCTGGCGTGGAGGAAGGACAGGGCAGCCCCTCGGAGCTGACCCATCCCTCCGAGTTCAGGTGAGGCTGGGTTTGCTCAGCAGGGAGAGCATCTTCCAACCAATCTTGAGCTCAAGCTGTCACTTTTCCCTTTGTCTTTGGTTTGGGGGGCAAAGCCCATCCTTATCCAGGATGAAGAGGAAGCATGAGGGCTCAGGAGGGAAAGGTTCTGGGGGGGGGCAAAGGGTTCCCAAATCAAGGACAAGCTCAGTAAGGAAGGGGATTGTCCTTCCTGGACTCATCCAGCCCCATGACTATGTCCATCTTCTCCCGTCTCTCTTCTCAGAGTGGATAACAACCATCTCCTCCTGCTGATGATCCATGTCTTTCGGGAGAACGAGGAACAGTTGTTCAGGGTAAGGCGGCCACCAGTGATCTCCCCCAAGGGACCAGCTCTGTGCCTGCATCCACTGAGAGCTCTTTTCCCTCCACACAGATGATCCGGATGAGCACTGGGCACATGGAGGGGAACCTGCAGCTGGTCTACGTCCTGCTGACGGATTGCTACGTGTACCTCATCCGGAAAGGTAGATCCCATCCTGAGAGCCTCTGCGGGGCTGCAGGGAGGGAGGCTTGCCCATACATGAGGGTACCATAGCTCGGTACCTTCACTGCCAGCTCCTGCCGGTTCCCCCATGTCCCCCGGAGCAGTGGCACAGTGGGGAGCTCAGGTTGACTTCTCCCCCGAGCAGCCCCGGGGTACATGGCCCACAGCTCCGTGCTGCCTGGGACACAGCTTGGTTTGTGGGTCCATCACTGCTGCTGAGCCGCGGCGCTGGGCTCCTCTGCCCCGGTTCATGTGGCTCTCTGTGTCTGTGCCAGGGGCCGCGGAGAAGCCGTACATGGTGGAGGAGGCTGTTTCCTACAATGAGCTGGACTACATCTCGGTGAGTGCAGCTCCCGGGGAGAGGAGCAGGAGGTGGGCTGGTGGGGTCAGTCCTCACCTCTCCAGCTGCAGGGGTGTTGGGGGCATCACAGTGAGGTGGTTTTGAGGGTGCTCTGTCTGTGGGGAGTGTTTTGACTGGGAGAGTTGGAAGTGAGCCTCCCTCAGGGGTGAGAACACTGGGGCTGCTCAGCCTGGAGAAGAGAAGCTGCGTGGAGACCTCGGAGCAGCTTCCAGTGTCTGAAGGGGGCTACAGGGATGCTGGAGAGGGACTCTTCATCAGCGACTGGAGTGACAGGACAAGGGGTGATGGGTTCGGACTGAAACAGGGGAAGTTCAGGTTGGAGATAAGGCAGAAGCTCTTCCCTGTGAGGGTGCTGAGGCGCTGGCACAGGGTGCCCAGAGAAGCTGTGGCTGCCCCATCCCTGGCAGTGTTCAAGGCCAGGTTGGACACAGGGGCTTGGAGCAAGCTGCTCCAGTGGAAGGGGTCCCTGCCTGTGGCAGGGGGTTAGAACTGGAAGAGCTTTAAGGTTCCTTCCAACCCAACCCATTCTGTGGTTCTAAATCCCCCCTCTGTGGGTGCCCAGCTTGCTCGTATCTTCACACAGGCAGCAGAGCAGCTGCTGCCCTTCTCCCATGGGGCCAGAAGCCAGGTTCAGCCCTGCCTGGTTGCTGCTCATCTCCCTCCTGGCTCCCTGAACCCGTCCTATGTGGCACAGGTTGGGCTGGATCAGCAGACGGTGACTCTGGTGTGCACCAACCGGAGGAAGCAGTTCCTGCTCGACACCGCGGACGTGGCTCTCACCGAGTAAGCAGGGGCCGGGCGGTGAACTGTGGTGCTTGCTCCTGGGGGACTCGGGTGACAGCCCTTCAACAACAACGGGCTGCCAGCAGGGGGGTGTGGGGTTCGGTGTGACGCCACTGGCTAAACCCTGCAGGGAACTGGGAAGGCCTTGAGCATGGATAAGGATGTACACAGCAGCCAGCCTGTGCCTCAGGCTGACAGCCTCGGGGCTCTGGGCCGTGCAGACTGTGTGCTCTTTGTGTCCCTTTGGATGAGGAGGGACGAGGTCTTGAGTTTCAAGGCACGTCCCCAGGTCTGTCTGCATGGTGTCAGCTCAGGGAGGTGATCCCTTCAGGGCCTGGATCTGTGTTGGGATGAGCGTCCATCTCCCACTCTCACCCATCTCCTTCCTGGAGTTCAGACTTTGCACCCTTGGTCCACAGGTTGATTTTGGGATCCTTTGGTCTGGAAGACCAGAGGCTCACATTGAAGGGAAGTGCCTGTATGAGGGCGATGAATCCTCTCTGCCCTGGCCTCATCTCTCTCTCCCTCTCAGATTCTTCCTGCTCTCCTTGAAGTCAGCCATGATCAAAGGGTGCCGGGAGCCGCCGTACCCCAGTATCCTCACTGATGCCACCATGGAGAAACTGGCACTTGCAAAGTTTGTGGCCCAGGAGTCCAAGTGTGAGGTGAGTTTGGACCTTGCAGCCATCACTGCACAGGAGATTCCCACGGGAGATTCCCTCCCATTGACCTCTCCTCCTGCTTCCTGCAGGCCTGCAACGTGGTTGTGCGTTTCTATGGCCTTGTCCACTGGGAAGACCCCATGGACGAGGCGCTGGGACCTGCCAGCAACAGCTACGCCTCCACTGAAAACGCGGTCACCAAGGATGGCATCCTACACTACAAGGCAGGGACCTCCTACCTGGGCAAGGAGCAGTGGAAGACCTGCTTTGTGGTGCTCAGGTTGGTGCCAGGGCTGTGGGTCAGGACTGGGGTCAGACAGGGCTCATTGGAGAAGGTGCTGGGACCAGTTTGCTGCCCAGGAGCTGTTTGGGTGATGGCAAGGACCCATCTTGTCGGCTGGGAGGATGAAACCACCAGTTGTGTCTGCCCAGCAGCAGGAATGCAACCCCGTGGGCTGCATGGGTGGAGGGCAGGGCAGGAGTGGCAGTGGGACCAGAGGCAGAGGGTGCTCGTGCAGTTGCCAGAGCCAAGCTGACTCCAGTTCCCATCTCTTTCATCTTCCCAACGGGCAGCAATGGGATCTTGTACCAGTACCCGGACCGCACGGACGTCACCCCTCTGCTCTCCATCAACATGGGGTAAGCAGCTGGCAGGATGTGGCACCCAGACCCAGTGGGGATCAGGAGCTCCTTGGGGTGTTCAGAGAGGTGTTTTGGGGCACATCACAATCCAGACCGTGCTGCAGCACTCCCTGCTTGCTCCTGGCTGGGTGCAGGTGCCTGTTTGCTCAGTCTCCGGTACAGGCAGCTGGAGATGGGCTCATTTCCCCCTGGATTTAGCACACCCTTTGATGGGAATTGGCCTCTGAAGGGCTGATGGAGCCCTCCACTGCTCTCACCTCCAGCTCTACACAAGGTGCAGAGACCAAGGCCGCCCCTGGAGCACCCTCGGGGGTGTCTCCTATGGGGAGCAGGCGCCGCGCAGCGCCGGGAGGGCAGGCGGAGGCTGCTTTGAGGCCGCCCCGGCGCTGATCTCCATCCTCCCCCTCTCTCCCAGCGGTGAGCAGTGCGGGGGATGCCGGCGCTCCAACACCACCGACCGGCCCCACTCCTTCCAGGTGATCCTGACGGACCGGCCCTCCCTGGAGCTCAGCGCCGACAACGAGGAGGACATGGCCGACTGGATGCAGTACTTCTGCCAGGCTGTCTCCAAAGGGGTGAGCGGGGACAGGCCCCAGGTGTGGGTGCATCAGCACCCTCCATCGCCCTGTGGGGCACAGCTCTGTCAATGTGGAGCTGCCCGGGGGTGTCTGGCAGGGAGCAGGGATGGAGGAGGCAGTTTTCTCCCTCCTCAGCAGGGTTTTCCCCAGGAAGCACCCTATGGAGACACATCTCCTTCCTGCCACATTCAAACCCCCCTTTTCCCACCCCGTGCAGGTGATCCCCCAGGGTGTTGCCCCCACGCCGTGCGTCCCGTGCTGCCTCGTGCTGACGGATGAGAAGGCTTTCACGTGCCATGAGGACTGCCAGACAAGCTTCTTCCGCTCGCTGGGCACCATGGAGCTCACGGACATCACCGCTGTCTCCACGGAGGCTGGCAAGGAGTACTGCATCCTGGTGAGCGTGGTGCTTTGGGAACGGCTGTCCCAGGGCTGGGCGAGGACCCCAGTGGTAACACCCGGCCTCTCTCTTGGTGCTTAGGAGTTTGCTCAGGACAGCAAGCAGTTCCTGCCCCCCTGGGTCCTCTATTTTAGTTGCACTACAGAACTGGAGAGGTTTCTCTCAGCACTGAACGCTGCTTGGAGGAACATCTACCAGGTGAGTGGGTGAGGCTGTGGCACACCCCTCCTATGGTGAGGAAGGGCCAACAGGACCCCCCGAGGAAGGTGGGGTGGAATTTTCCATGTGGGGTGAACCCAGCTTCCCCACAAAGGCAGGAGAGCCAGAGAGTGTCCTTATGACCATGGGGTGTGGGACTTGGAACCCAAATCCTGTGGCAAGACGGGCTATGAGCATCCAGAGCCAGTGAGGGGAATAACCTGGTTCAGCCCCGTCCCTCTCTGTCACCTGTATTTAAGACACAGTGACTCTGCCATCTGGTTTTGGGGTGATTGGACACCAAGGGCTGGGGTCGGTTCCCCCCCTGACTGCCCCACACGTGTGTTTCAGGTTGACCTCCTGCACAAAGCCATTCTGGACGCTGCCATCAAGAAGAAGTGCGAGGACGCTCAGAGCCTCATCGACAGCGCGTGGCAGCGCAGCGACAGCCTCTGCCGCGGGCGAGCGGAGCGGGACCCCTGGTGCTAACCCTGCCCGGGGGGAGGACGGATGCTGGGGGCCCATTTTGGGAGAGCAGGGTCTGTACCCAGCTGCCCGCAGCCAGCCGGCTCCCCAAACCCTCCGGCCATCGCGCGCTCCCCACCGGGATCGTGCCTGCAGGCGTGGGCCCTGCATCCCGTCCCCACCCCGCTGGGGACATCGGGCACGTTTTGGGGAGCAACCGGACGCTTCTCCATGCAGGAGGTGAGGCTGAGCCCGGCCACTTTCCCTGTCCAGCCGTGCAGCCTCCACCTTCCTCATCCAGTGGCCACGGGGCAGAATCGTTTGCCTTTCATGGAATGATATCCCCCAAACGGTGTGGGAGAGGGGAGGGCTGGGGGTGAGCATCCCCCGGTTGCAGCAGGGAGCAGAGGACTTGTTCATTTTAGAACAGGGATGGGGCATGGAGGTGGAGAGGGGAGCACACATCGCTGCCGTGCATGTTTTCTCCTGGCTCATGCAATCACCGCGTGCGGCACCGCTTCACCTCCTGGATCACCCCGCACCGGGCTTCCGGACATCACCAAACCACTCCCCAGCCTGTCCGTGAGGTTTGAGGCTAAAGGAAGAAGGACCAGGGCCAAAAACCAGCCTTAACTCCTCCCAGCATGGTTTTAGACGACCTCAGGAGCTGGTTTGAGGGTTGGATGCTGGCCCCGTGTGCTGGGGGAGAGAAGAGAGTGAGGCCCATGGTCTTCAGGTGTTCTGAGGGACGTTGTCACAAGGCTGTCACCAACCACGTCCCCATCTCAGCTCGCTGCACCTGAGGCCAGTGAGGACCCATTGCTGCTTGCCCTCTACAGCGAGCCCTTGGGGCACAACCCCAGCTTTTAAATAATAATAATGATCGAGAGACATGTAATATATGTTCATGGGGCCTTTTAGGGGACTGAATGTGTATGTACATACATCTGCTTCCTTCCCCCCTCCCCAAATAAATACTCATTGGTAAGTCAGATCCCAGCGCCAGGGGCTGCTCTTCCTCCTCCTCCCATCCTCAGCTTCGCTTTGGGGCAGGGAGAAGCAGTAGTTTTAGGACAGAGGGATGAGGATGTGCACCCCATCGGTGTTGACCCTCAGTTACCCATCCTGATAGCCCCAGTCTAGACAAGGAAGGAAACAGCCACAGGGCCAGCGCCCAGCAGCCCATAAATCCTCCCTTGCCTTTCGGGAGCCAAGCGGGGAGGGTTGGGAGGATTCCAGTATCTAAAGGGGGGCTGTAAGGATGCTGGGGATGGACTCTTCATTAGGGACTGCAGTGATAGGACAAGGGGTGATGGGTTCAAACTGAAACAGGGGAAGTTTAGATTGGATATAAGGAGGAAGTTCTTTACTGTGAGGGTGTTGAGGCACTGGAATGGGTTGCCCAGGGAGGTTGTGAATGCTCCATCCCTGGCAGTGTTCAAGGCCAGGCTGGACAGAGCCTTGGGTGCCATGGTTTAGTGTGAGGTGTCCCTGCCCATGGCAGGGGGTTGGAACTGGATGAGCTTAAGGTCCTTTCCAACCCAAACCATTCTATGATTCTATGGGGCAGCCATGGGGAGGGTTTCCTTCCCCAGCATCCCCAGTGATCCCTGGAGCCGGTTGCCCTACAGATGGGAACGTGGGGGGCAGATGGACAGCAGCAGCACACACACACACACACACCCCACACCCCCCCCCCCGTTGCTTTTTGTCCTTGGAAGCTGATTTCAACCCCCGGAGGGTCAGGAACGGGGACATGAGGAGGGTGAGAGCCCCCCCCCTCCCCCCCCCCCGCAACCCCCGAACCAGCGCCGCGGCTCGGCCGCCGCTGAGCCCGCACCGGGGGGAGCCGAACCCCCCCCCCCCCCCCCCGTTTTTCCGCAGAAAGAGCCCTTTTTTATTCCCTGTCGGGAATCGCCGGGTCACGTGAGACGAGGACGCCCGGCCGGGATTTGGGATTTGGCAGCGGTCCGGGGGGGGGGGAGGAGGGGGGGTGACCTTTGCCCCATTTCCCTACCCCAAATTGGGGGTGGCTCCGGTTGGGGGGGGGGGGGGCTGGTTCGCAGGAGGCGGCGCTCGCTCCCCTCGGTGCTTCCCTGCAGTGGGGGGGGAAGGTGGAGCCTGGGGCCATCCCCGCGGGCAGGTGCTGCATGGCGGCGGGTGCCGGCGCCCTCGCCCCCTTCCCTGGGGTCCCCTCCGCTTCCCTGCATGAATTCCCTTACCCCCCCCAGGGCAGACCCCGCGTCTCCGGGGGTTCCCCAGCTGGGGGGGTGCCTCCAGCCACCGACCTGGTGCTGGGCGCCGCGGCCGGGTGCTTGGCCTGCGTCCTCACCAACCCGCTGGAGGTGGTCAAGACGCGGCTGCAGCTCCAGGGCGAGCTGCAGCCCCCCGGTACCTACCCGCGGCCGTACCGGGGCGTGCTGCGGGCGCTGGGGGCCGTGTGCCGCGCCGATGGGCTGCGGGGGCTGCAGAAGGGCCTGGCCGCCAGCCTGCTCTACCAGGGGCTGATGAACGGCGTCCGCTTCTATTGCTACTCGCACGCTGAGGACGCCGGTTGGACGCGGTACCCCGGGGGTACCGTGGCCGCCGGAGCCATCGCCGGGGCGGTGGGAGCCTTCGTGGGCAGCCCCGCGTACCTGGTGAGTGCCTGTGCCCCGCTGCGGGAGGAGCTGAGGGGCTTGGGGACACAGAGCCCTCTGAGCAGCGCTCGGCGCATCCCTGCCTCCCTGCGCTGCTTCACCCCCCAAGTGAGGGTCTGATTTGTGCGTGCTTCCCACCCCAAATCCCTCCCCTGCTGGAAATCTGAGCAGAGAACTCCCTCATAAGGGAATTGGGGTGTTCCCCCCCCCCGGATTTTAGGGTTGCAGAGCTCAGATAGGGCTGCAATGAGTGCTCGCAGGGTCCCTTTGCTGCGGGCTGGGAGGGTGAATACAGGGGTTCGAAGTCTGGAGGTGCCCACATCTGGGCACCCCACATCTGCCGAGGGGCTCAGAACACCCCTGAGAGCTGCTGAGATGGGGGAGGGACCCACGGTTTGTCCCGGTGGGGATTGGGGGGGTCGTGACCCACATCTGTGTGTCCCCCTCCCAGGTCAAGACCCACCTCCAAGCCCAGACACTGTCCTCAGTGGCCGTGGGCCACCAGCACAATCATGAGGTGAGGAGTGGGGTCTGGGGGGGGCACCCATGGTTTGGTGGCACCGTGGCCACGCACGCGGCAGGACCCGGTGGGGACGGTGCTATTTTGGGTGTTGAAAGCTGCTGTTTGGCCCGTAGGGATGCTATAAATAACAGTGAACAGGGAGGCAGTGACAGGAACATGGAGCTGGGACACTGGAGCTGGGCACCCCACGGGACCACTGGCACCTGTACGGAGCCACGGTGGCTTTGTGCCACCAAGGGGGTTTTGCACGGCAGGGTGGGATGGAATCATGGAAACATGGAATGGTTTGGGTTGGAAGGGACCTTAAATCCCATCCAGCTCCAACCCCTGCCACGGGCAGGGACCCCTTCCACTGGAGCAGCTTGCTCCAAGCCCCTGTGTCCAGCCTGGCCTTGAGCACTGCCAGGGATGGGGCAGCCACAGCTTCTCTGGGCACCCTGTGCCAGCGCCTCAGCACCCTCACAGGGAAGAGCTTCTGCCTTATCTCCAACCTGAACTTCCCCTGTTCCACTCTGAACCCATCACCCCTTGTCCTATGTCTCCAGTCCCTGATGCAGAGCCCCTCTCCCGCATCCCTGTATCCCCTTCAGGCACTGCAGGCTGCTATAGGAAGGGATGCGCTGTTCCCATTCCTCCCCATTTCCTCTCTTCCCAGAGCATCTCCGCAGCGTTCGAGAGCATCTACCGGCAGCACGGGGTGGCGGGGCTGTGGCGGGGGGTGACGGGCGCCGTGCCCCGCGTGGCCGTGGGCTCAGCCGCGCAGCTCGCCACCTTCGCCTCCGCCAAGGACTGGGTCTGCGAGCACCAGGTGAGGGCCGCGCGGGATCCGGGAGCCATCGATCCAATGATCCCACCGTGGTTCTGGGGGCAGGAGCTGATGCCCGGCGCTTCCCGCAGTGGTTTGGGGAGGGCAGCTGGGCCGCAGTGCTGGCGGGGGGCATGGTGAGCGGCGTGGCCGTGGCGGTGACGATGACGCCTTTCGACGTGGTCAGCACCCGGCTCTACAACCAGCCCGTGGATGCGGATGGCACGGTAAGGCCACGCGGGGAAGGGGATGGGGGGGAACACGGCTTTTCCCAGGATCCATGCGCCACAGGGGCTCCTCTCTCCCCAGGGCAAGCTCTACCGGGGGTTTTTGGATTGTATCCTGCAAATCTCCAGCAAAGAGGGGCTGCTGGGCTTGTACAAGGGCATCGGCGCCGTCTACCTCCGCCTCGGCCCGCACACCGTCCTCAGCCTCTTCTTTTGGGATGAGCTCAGGAAGATGGTGCAGCACCAGCAGCCCCCGGGGCTGTAGGACGGGTCCCGGCCCCGCTGCGCCCGTCAATAAAGGGGTTTTTCTAGTTTTTGGCGTTGTTTTGGGGTCTTTGGGGTGGTGCAAATCATAGAAACACAGAATGGTTTGGGTTGGAAGGGACCTTAAAGCTCCTCCAGCTCCAACCCCTGCCACGGGCAGGGACCCCTTCCACTGGAGCAGCTTGCTCCAAGCCCCTGTGTCCAACCTGGCCTTGAGCACTGCCAGGGATGGGGCAGCCACAGCTTCTCTGGGCACCCTGTGCCAGCGCCTCAGCACCCTCACAGGGAAGAGCTTCTGCCTTATCTCCAACCTGAACTTCCCCTGTTTCAGTCTGAACCCATCACCCCTTGTCCTATCCCTACAGTCCCTGATGAAGAGCCCCTCTCCAGCATCCTTGTAGCCCCATTCAGGCACTGGAAGCTGCTCTGAGCTCTCCATGCAGCTTCTCTTCTCCAGGCTGCACAGCCCCAGTGTTCTCAGCCTTGAGCAAAGGGGGACCTGAAACGCTGCTCTGCATCGGGCTGGAAAGGACAATGGTGATGCCAGGGACCAAAATGCTCACAGTCCACAGACCCCATTGTGTCCATCCCATTGCTGCTTCCCTGTCTCCACCCTCATTTTCCCCTCCGTGGGGCAGCTGCAGCCCTGGCTGGAGGAGCTGAGCTCCAGCTGCCCTCACTTGCCCCAGCAATGATTTACCAGCCAGGGGGAGGCTCCCGGCCTCCACCCCTTGGACCTTGGAGCCGGGCCCTGGCTCTGCCGTGGCTCCTCTCCATCCGGAATGTTTTCCCTGGGGTCGTGGCTGCCGGGGCTGACATGGGGCTGGGCGCTGCTGGATGCGCTGCTGCAAGGTGAGAGCCCCCGGGGGTCCATGGGGACAGCTTGGGTACGGCTCAGGGACACCGGTGACCTCCTGCTGCCTTTTCCCTGCAGGGCTGGTGGGTGCCTGCGCCGTCTCGGTGCTCTGCAGCCTCCTGAAGGTTTATCTTTACATCCAGTGCCTGAAGTAAGCACCAGCCCCTCCTTCCCTGTTCCATAAGGGGGTTTGGGGATGGATCCGCCTTTGGGACCCACTAGTGGGGAGGACAGCTCGCAGCACCCACGCGTGCTGGCAGTGGCAGGGCAAGGGCTGTGCCCTTTTCTCCCTGCTGCAAAGCACAGGGGTGCTCTCGAGGCTGTCACCCCGCTTTTGGGGTGGCAGAGGAGGAAGGGGACGTCCCGCCCGGCTCAGTGTCCCCCTCGCTGTCCCCAGTGACCCAGAGGGGCAGGCGCAGAAGGAGGCGATGCGGGCGCAGCGGCGGGTGCTGGAGCCACTGCATGTGCTGGGGCTGACGGGGCTGCTGGCGCTGGTGGGCTCCCGCGTGGCCGCGCTGGTGGTGCTGGAGTTCTCCCTGCGCGCCGTGTCCAGCCTGCTCTCCCTCGGCAAGGTGAGATGGGAACGGGGGGCTGCGGACCTGAGCCTCGCTTGTGGGTTTGCATGGGGAGGATGGGGAGGGGGCATGGACTGCGTGTGGCTTTGCAGCACCTGCAGAGAGGGTGAGGGCTGTGGCATGCCCGAAATGAAGCATCCTCCTGCTGCTTGCAGCACCCATGAGGCGTATGGGATCTGGGGCATGGAGGGTGCTGGGCATCTTCCTGCTGCTTTGCAGCCTCTGCAGGGAGCATGAGGATGGCTGGCATGGAGAAAACCATGCATTGCTTTGCATGCGTGCATGTCTGCAGCCGTGTGTCCCCTTGCTGCATGCAATGCCTGAAGCGTTATAGGGGGCTGTGGCATAGAGAAAACCACTCATTGCTTTGCAACTGTGCATCCCTGCTGCATGCAGCACCTACAGAGAGGATGAGGATGGCTGGCATGGAGAAAACCATGCACTGCTTTGCATGCATGCATGTCTGCAGCCGTGCATCCCCTTGCTGCCTGCAACATCTGCGGGGCTACAGGGGGCTGCAGCATGGAGAAAACCACTCATTGCTTTGCAGCCATGCATCCCCTCGCAGCTCTGCAGCAGCTGCAGGGAGGATGAGGATGGGTGGCATGATGGGAGAAATCCATGCATCGCTCTGCATGCCGGTGTGTCTGCAGCCATGCATCCTACTCTGCACTGCAGCCAAGCGCTGCCTTTGCAACATCTGTGGGGAGGATGAGGATGCATGTCCTTGCAACTGCGCATCCCCTTGCTGCCACCAGTCCTTGGGGGGTCACAGGGATGCTGCAGCATGGAGGAAGCCCTGCATCCCTCCCTGCTCTGCTGACGGTGCCTCCCGTCCCGCAGGGCTCCCCCAGCACCCAGCTCTACCTGCTGTGCCAGTACTCGCTGGGCTGCGGCGTGTCCTGCGGCCTCAGCTTCCTGCTGGAGGGGGCTCCCCACGGCACCTGCAACCTGGCGCTGGCGGCGGGGCTGGCGGGGCTGCTGGCCTGCGGCGCGCGGCGCCTGGCGCGGCACGTCTGCACCCTGTACGAGCTGCACAGCACCGCGCAGTACTGCGGCGTCTGCATCCTCCTGCTCAGCTCCGGGCACCGCATCCCGCGCCTGCTGCGCAAGGCAATGGCCATCACCTTCACCGTGGCGGACCTGGCTGCCGTAGCCCTCATCAACCGGGATTTCCTCTCCACCGGGGAGGCCGTCCGCTTCTGGACGCCGCTCACCATCTGCTACACGCTGCTGGTCATCTACATGCAAGGTGAGGAGGAGACCGGGTCCCCAGTTATGGGGGTTTGGGGGGTTATGTCCCTATGTGAGCATCTGTAGCAGGTGTCAGTGCCTGGCTGTGGGGCAGGGACAGGGTCCCACTGTGGTGGCCATGTCCTTGCAGAGGAGCCGCAGCAGAGCAGCGGGAGGCAGCCGGTGTTCCAGACGGTGCTGGTGCGGATGGGCGGCCTCTTCATCCTCCTCCTCACCGTTGGGCATTGGGTTGACATCTTCCACGTCCTCATCTCGCTGCTGGGAGAGCTGTGGTGCCTGCTCCATGCCCGTGTCATGCTGGAGGCCTGCTGGAGGCAGGTGAGGTGGTGACACCGCCACGACGCTGCAGTGAGGGACTGCGGCAGCCTGGAGACCACGGTGAGGGGCTTCTCTGCTTCTCTCCTTCCATCTCCCATAGGATTTCACCCAGCATTCTCGGTCGGATAGGCGGCCAAGATCGGGATCAGAGGAAGCATCCTGATGGACACAGGGTGTAACTGGGCATCAGAGACTCAAAGTGGCTTTGCCTGGCTCCCCCAGAACAGTTGCACCCCCCCCAAATCCTCCCCATCACAGATCCCCCATGGGGACGAAGGAAAAATGGCTCCTGGAAGGTGCTGGACCCCATCCCACAGGGTGGGGGAGCTCAGGGGCTCCTGTATACCCTGTTTTTGGGGGGATCCCATGAAGTTGTGGTACTGCTGGGGATTGGCTCCCTGGTCCCACTGTGGACCTGGGATGCTGATGGATGCCCCGGCCCTGGTGGCTGCTGTGGCAGTTCAGGGGCCTCCAAGGGCTTGCAAACCTCGGGAAATAAAGGTTTTTCCAGCAAAATCCATGGGCAGAGTGAGCTGAGGTCCCACCGTGCCAGAGCGGGGTGCACAGAGGTGGTGTGGGGGTGTTCTGGGAGTGTACTGGGCATCCTGGGGGCATAAGGGGGCACAGCGGGACATGTGGGGCTGTACAGGGATCTATGGGGTATCCTGGGGATAGAGGGGGCACATGGGGCATCCTGGGGGTAATGGGGCGGTTCATGGGGCACTATGGGGGTGTTGGGAGCATCCAGTGCTGTATGGGGCAACCTGAGAGGGTCTGGGGCAATGGGGGGAACAACCGGGAGTGGGGAGGGGGGCAGGGGTCACCCCAGGGCACACAGGGGCACCCAAGGGGCTGTGGGTCACCTCGGGGTGCAGGGGGCAGTCAGAAGGCACCCGTGGGTCCGTGAAGTACCCTGAGGCCCCATGGAGCACCCTGGGGTGCATGGGGCAGTCGGGGGGGGGCTATGGGGCACCCCATGTCCTATAGGGCACTCTAAGTACCTATGGGGTACCCCAGGGTGCCCCGTACAGCTCCGGATCCCCCCAACACCCCTAGGGTGCATCGGGCGCCCCACTCGCCGTGGGGCAGACGGGGGGAGGAGGAAGGAAGGAAGGAGGAGGAGGAGGAGGAGGGAGGAAGGGGCGGTGATGCCGGGCGGCTCTGCCCCCCCCCCCCCCCCCCCGCTGCCCCCGCCGCACCGGGCGCGTCCGCGGAGCGCACGGAGGGACCCGCAACGGATCCCAGGTAGGGGACAGGGACGGGAACCCCCAACCAGGGGCTGTGGGGGCACCGCAGGGCAAGCGACCCCCCCCCCCCATCCCCATAAGGACCCCCACAGGTAGGGGACAGCCCAGGTATGGGGTTGGGGACCCCCAGGTAGGGGACAGGGACCCCCCCAGGTAATGGGTGAAGGGCTGCAGAGCCGTCTGGGATGGGACAGGGGAACCCGGAGCCACCCGCAGGAAGGGGACTGGGGGTCTCAGGCTGGGGGGACATGGTGGGGCCACCGCCATACAGGGGATAAGGGGCTATGGGGGGGCCCGGTGGGAGATGGGGCTGTGGGGGACTGCAAGGCCGCCCCAGGGTAAGGGACATGGGGACAGCGGGGCCCCTTGTGAAAGGGAGCAGGGGACACCCCGGGCTGTGTCCCCCCGCTCTGTCCCTTCTCTTTTGGGTGTCCTCAAAGGGCTCTCCCAGAGGTCCCCAGGGCAGGGGACAGAGTTGGGGTCACTTGGCAGGATTCCCGTGTCCCCTCCTAATTCTGGGGTGCCCCATAAGTGGCCCCATCCCTGTCGGCCCCACCTGGGCTCCCACCCCAGGAGATTTCGGGACGATGCTTGCGGGAAACCAGGCAGGCCCTTCCCAACATGGCCCATCCCAAACAGGACAGCGCTACGTGCAAGGAGCAGGGGAAGGAACCCCATATAAAATGGGGTGGGGGGGGCACCCCATTATTGCACCCCTCAAGCCTCGACCACCCTGACGGCCCCTGGAAAAGGGGGGGGGAACCGGGGGTGCTGCGATGGGGCCGCCGGGATCCCGTGAGCCCCGGCACAAAGAGGAATGCGCTGAGCACATGGTTCCCATTAGCCCCAGCGATCAGGTTTTGTACTTCGGGGGGATGTTTCACCATTATTACCGGTTCCCCCCCCTTTTTCCCCTGCAGCGCTGGAGGAGGAGCAGCGCCGGCTCCCGCGGGCAGGGTTTGAGGCCGGCGGGGCTGGAGCCCCGTTGGGGTTTTGCCGGTGGGGAGGGCGGGAGCGAAGCCGCTTGGGCTGGGTTCGAGTTCCCTTTCTAATCCCTTCCCCTGCTTGAGTCAGAGGCTGAGGTCACCGGTGTGAGCATCCCGAAGCCTGCACCCACCGCAGGGGGACCGTCCCCCCCCCCTAAAGGATGCACTGGCCCCGATGAGAGGGAGTTTGGGGCAGCAGAGCCGCCCTGCACAGGGAATGAGACCCGGCAGCTCCTCACACAGGTATTGTTCATGCTGACAATCCACCACGGGGATGAATCTTCACTGCTGCAGCTCCTGGCTAAAGCCTCGGGGCTCCCTGCCCCCCCAAACCATCCAGTTTGGGAAGGGGAAGCTTCGCCCCGGCTGCTTTTCCCGTTGGGAAGCTGAATAAACAGCGCTTTTCCTGCCCGAATGGGGTTTATCGGGATCAGGCGCATCCTGCCTGTGCTGCTGGGCGATGCTCGGGGGCCTCTCTGGTGATGGGGGGATGTGGTGGTGTGCAGCACTGCCCCCCCGTTTCCCCATCTGTAAAGCTAAAGGGGGGGATGCCCTGAGCTGGAAGTCATTAGCAGGGAAATGGGGGTAAGCAGGGAGGGAATGGGAAGCCGGGGGACATGGGAACACTCCCAAAAAGGGTTTGCAAAAGGAGATCCTATCGCAACCCTATTTTTAAGAGGAAAAGTGAGATTTTTCTGCTGCCCACCAGGAGCTTAATCCCAAATGGGGGCAAAAAGAGGGAGTAAAGGGGATTAAAACGGGCAAGGCTTGGCCTCAAGGGCCTGAAAATGGGCGATTTTGGCTGCTGCCTCACCGGGACCCTTTACCCTGCGTCCTCCCAGGCACGAGGCTGTTTATTGCCGTGACGTGGGACGGGGACACTCGCTCCTTCTCCCTTTCCGGGAAGGCGAGGAGGGAGGCGGCTGAGGCTGAAGGGCAGCAGGGCCTGGGGAGCTCCCGGTGTGCCCACAGGTTCTGCTCTCTCATTTGGCCCTAAAACCGAGCCCAGGTCCGGCCCGTCCGTGCTTTCGGCGATGCTGCCGGGGAAGGCGGAGAAGAGGATGGTTTCATCGGTATTCATCACCCTGGTGCCACCACGGAGGGAGGAGGCCACCAAGGAGAAAACCCAAAGGGAGCTGCGGCCAGATGGGGACAAGGTCCCCGGCACCCATCACCCCTGGACCCCGCTGCCCCGGCCCCCTGCATTGCCCAATGGAGGTGAGTGGTGGCTGCGGGGGGCTGCGAACGGTGCTGGGAGGATGATGGTGTGGAGATGCTTTGTGTCTCCTCTGCATTAAGGGATGTGTGCGCAGGCAGGAGGGGATGTGGGGGGTTTTAGGGGGTTATTCCCCAAATCCCTGCACCCATCCCCGAATGGATCCGGCTGCTGGGAACAGGCTGTGTTTACTCTTCACAATCAGGTGCTTATCGGCCTTGTTTGTCCCCTCGGCTGCGGTGGCGTTTGCTTTTGGGGCAGGTCGGTGCAGTGAGCGGTGCTGCAAAGCTGTCAGGGAGCTATTGCAATGGGGCATTTTTGGACCCCCTGAAATCCCCCATATCTGGCTTTTGCCACAGAAACCCGCCCAGCAGCCCCCGTGCCTTCATCCCCGACGGTCCTTGTCCTCTCCGAAGCTCCCCAGCCCTTGTCTGCAGAGACACTGGTTCCGGCGCTGCAGCAAATGGACCTGGCAGCACCCGCTACCCTCCAGGTTAGGATGCATCCCACCACTGCCTCAGTTTCCCCACATACAGGGGCATAAGTGTGATGTGCCATTGTCTTCCTGCCCCGCCAGGCCCCTTCTGCCCTCCCTGCCGAATTGAGGCCGCCCAAATTCTGCCAGGAGCAAGCTGGCAAGCTGCAGCAGCGGGATGCAAAAGGGTACCCAGAGAGGGACAGCTCCAGAGGTAAGGAGGGGATGGGGCTGCACTGTGAGGGCTTTCTCAGTTGGGGAAACTGAGGCACGCAGCACCAAACCCCTCTCCTTTCCTCCCGAAGACATCTGCGCCTTCTGCCACAAGGCACTGGGGCCGCGGGAGCCCACGGTGGAGGCGATGGGGAAGCAGTACCATGCTGAGTGCTTCACCTGCAGGACGTGCCCCCGGCTCCTGGCTGGGCAGCGCTACTACCAGAAGGATGGGCGCCCCATGTGCGACGCCTGCTACCAGGTACCTGTCCTCCCATGGGGACAACCAGCACCCTCGGGGGGGTGGCAGGAGATGCAGTCCTTGAGAGTGGGAGCAGGGATCTCATGGTGTGCCCCCCCCAAACCCAGGCCACACTGGAGAAATGTGCCAAGTGCAAGGGGCTGATCACGGAGCGCATCGTCCGTGCCCTGGGCAAAGGCTTCCATCCTGACTGCTTCTCCTGTGCTGCCTGCGGCCGGGCCATTGGTGCTGAGAGCTTCGCTGTGGACGAGCAGGATGAGGTGTACTGCGTGGCCGACTTCTACAGGTTGGGGAACGTGATCATGGCAGTGCTGGTGACATTCAGCTTGTCCCCATCGCCCCACAGCGCTCACGCCGCTCCCGTTTGCTCCCATCAGGAAATACGCTGCGGTCTGCAGCGCTTGTGAGCGCCCCATCATCCCCCACGAGGACAAGGACACCTACAAGATTGAGTGCCTGGGACGCAGCTTCCATGAGAGCTGCTACTGCTGTGAGGTACGGCCCCGACGGTGCCCCCCCCAAAAGCACAAGGGATTGGCTCTGAGCCTTTGTAAAGCACAGCCGAGGGGTCTGCAGCACCCCAGGTGCCATCAGTTTATCTTGCAAGTGGTGGTGATGGGGAGATTATAAACAGATCTGGTGAAAAGGACAATGTGTTCAGCCAGAACGTCAGCTTTTCCCGGTTTTCATGGAGTCTGCTGCTTTGTGTCCAAGCACTGGTGGGTTTGATAGGATGCAACATGGCACGGGACCCCTAACGTGTGTCCTCCCTTTTCCCTCTTCCCCCCAGAGCTGCAGGACACCCCTGTCACCAGAGCTGACGGAGGATGGGTGCTACCCCCTGGACAACCACCTCCTCTGCAAGTCCTGCCACATCCGCTGGCGAAGCGAGTCATCCTGCTAAAACCCTGTGGTTCAACCTCCATCGTCCAGCCCTGGGCACCAAACGGGGTGCATCCACTAGGATCCAGTGCCGGGTGTCCTCTGCACCCCCAAAGAGCTGCAGGACTGGGGTTTGCATCACCAAAACACACCCGGGACCCCGACTCGCTGGGCTGGCCCCGGGAAGCACAGATGCAGTGTCCCTGTGCTCATTATGGACATAAAAAGCCCTGGCAAAGCCTCAGGGACTGAGGAGCCGAGGGTTTATTCACTCATTTCTTTTTTAAAACTCCTTTTCCGAGGCCAGTTTGGTTTCTTGGGTGATTTTTCTCCTTTCTTCTTGAGCCTCCTTGGGGTTTCAGTTAAACGTTTCTCTCTGTGGTGACGCAGAGCGGGCACTGATTTAGTTACTTGCAGTTAAATAAAACCCGGAGTTTAAAGCCCCTCGTTTCTTTCCTCCGCCCTGCATTCCAAACCCATAACATGCACATTTAGAAGGAAGGAAAAAAGGACATTTTAGAGTTTTGAGAAGTGTGGCAAGAGTTGGGTCTCTCGGAGTGAGAACACGGCTGGGTTTGGGGTGCAGCGATGCTGCTGTTGCCCTGGAGAGAGCAGAGGGTCGGTTCTGGGGGCAAGATTCGGGGTTTCATGGTGTGGGTGGTGCTGAGGAAAGGGGGTTTGGTGGCTGTGGCTGGTTTGGGGTTTTTCTCTCTGACAGCCTGCGCTGTCTGGGCTCCACCTCAACCGGGTCGGCAGAGGGCAGCCGGAGCACAAATTCCTCCATCAGGCAGAAAACTCAGGCTAAACGTTCTGTGCTGCACCCCACAGCGCTGCGATCCTGGGAAAGACCACCCATTCCCGTTTCTGCACGTTATCAGACAGAGGATCGCTCTGCCTTCAGGCAGGTTTTGATCTTCTCTCAGTCCACGCTCCGAACCAGCAGAAATTAAACTATTTAGAAGCATGCCCAGCATCTGTGCGACCGATGTCACCAGGGTTTTGTTTGTGAGGGTGTTGCAAACCAGCTGGAGAAAGTTTCCTTTTTAACTGAAAGTGCTTAAAAAGGTTGGAACTGAATCTTTAAGGTCCCTTCCAACCCAAACCATTCTATGAAATCAAGAGGAGGAAACAGAACATCTGAGGTGATGGTTAACACATTCCCTGATTGAAAAAAGGGCTAAACCCAACCAAAGCAGCAGCCATACGTTTCTAGGTCACACAGGATGTCTCTAGTGTGCTCTGTATTTACAAATGAAAGGGTTAATGTATCATTAATGTAAGCACCGGTTGATTAATCACATCAACCTGCAACTATTTCCTGCTGACTGGTCCCCATCTACAAAGCCAATTACTCAGTGTTTGCTAATGGGAGTCTACAGCCCATCAATCAGGTCATAACTCGCTATAAAGTTATTATTATAAATAGGATGTTAATGCACAGCTGCGGTCTGTCCCGGTCACGTAAGTAGGTGGCTTTGACTCTGGCGTGTCCCATGCTCCAAGGCAGCTCTCACTTTCCAAAGCCTCTTGTCCTGTGGGGAAAACCAGGCACCAAATGGTACTAAAACAGTAAAAAGAAGTGGGCAGACTCAGCAGTGGGTAAAGAGTGTGGGGAAGGGGAGCTCCAGAGAGCAATGGGCTGCTCTCTTCTTTGCAGTACGGGTGATTTTCCAGTCAATGTTGGGGGAGGATGGAAACGCTGATGCTGAGAGGTGTTCTGGATGAGTTATTACATTGCACGCTGGCTTAACCCCTCTGCGCAGCACCCTTGGGTGCTCAGCAAGCTATGCTACCCCTCTGCAGGGCTAATGGTGGGAAGGGCTGGGTGTTTCTCCTGCAGAGCAAGCCAGGATGGGCTGTTAGCACCAGGACTGCGGCAGTTTCTGGTCAGAGGTAGGCAGGAAAGGGTTTTGATTGACATGAAGCACTACAGAAGTTGCTGGAGGGCAGAAGGGCAACTCTGCAAGGCTTCACACTGGAGAGTTTGGCTGCGTGGCAAAGGGACAGAAAAGTGGTCAAATTTGGCATATTCTCCAGGAAAGGAAGATGAGGAGGGACAGGGATGGACGGACATGGAGGCAAGAGGAAAATAAACTGACTTAAGCCATTTTCTCCTTGGGTGAGGGGAGAAGCACGGCAAGTCGAGGCACTGGGAACGTCGCTATGCCTGAAAAGCACGGCCCCGTGTTTTCCCCTGGGAGCACCTCGAGGAATTTCCAGTGCTGGCCGAGCCACATGGAGGAGATTCTGCAGGGTGAGGCTGCAGGAGACGGGTCCCATCCTGCTGCTGAGCAAGCCCAGGTCTGCTGCGACAGCTCCGCTTGTCCTTGGGCTCTGTGCCCTGTTGCAAGCGCTTTTACAAGCACCCAGGTTTGCTTGGCAAAGACTAAACCAAACACAAATCATGCACGGAGCAAGATGAAGCTCTTGCTCTGCCTTAGGAGCACCCCAAAGCCTTGCAGAGCTCCCCAGGGACCATCATAGGCATAAAACCCACCCAAGGTCTTGTCCTGCCCCAGTGGCAGTGCAAAAGGGCAAAGAGGATCCTACAGCCTTGGAGTCGCACGGGCCGGCCCTGCCCTTCCCTTGGCTGCTGCAATAAGCCTGCCTTGTCTTGCAATCCCTCTTGGCAGGCCGAGGGCAGCGGGGCGGGACGTGGCTGCCCTCCAACGAGAAGCAAATGCAAGCATTTCTTCACTCCAGGCTGGGTGCGGTCCGGGGATAAGATTTCCCCGGGCTTTCCCAGCGAAGGCATCTAACACCGTACCCTGCTGTGAGCTGGGAAGCGCAGGAGCAACCGGCTTGGAAAAGACCTTTAGGATCATCCAGTCCAACTGCTGCCATCACTGCCAAGGCCACCACTGCCCCATGGCACTGAGGGTGTGTGAACACTTGCAGGGCCGGTGCCTGCAGCCCTGCCCTGGGCAGCCTGTTCCAATGCCTGAGCACCCTCTGGGGCAGGAATTGTTCCTCAGCTCCATCTAACCCTGCCCTGGTGCAGCTTGAGGCCGGTTCCTCTTGTCCCATCCCTTGTTCCTTGGGAGCAGAGCCCAGCCCCTCCTGGCTCCATCCTCCTGTCAGGCAGTTGGAGGCAGCCATCAGGTCCCCCCTGAGCCTTCTCTTCTCCAGCCTGAACCCCCCCCAGTTCATAGCCCATAAAACTCCAAAGGTTGTCTCCCTCACAACTCAACTGATCTTTGAACAGCCTTTGAAGTAAAGGACGAGCTGCCAGGCTCACCTGTAGTGGTTTTAAATCAGTGGTGGAAGTAGTGCTTTGTTACAAATGAGGCCTTTTCAGAGGTTTTGTCTGTAAGCCAAAGGTTTGGCGTGGTGCAGGGAAAGCGAAGCCTGTAAAGGGAAACAGGCTGGAAAGTGCCTTTTCCCCCAGCATCCCCCATGGTCGGCCGTGAGAAATGCAAGCACAGAGCGGGAGAGATGAGCTGGATTCCTCGCGTGCCTTCGCTCTGCCATCACCGCCTCCAAGGGGCCGGGAAGGAGCTGGAGGGGAACGCTGCAGGAGGGGAAAGCAAGGCTGAAGCAGCTGCCAGGGCTTTGCTGGGAGGAGGGAGGGATGGAGGCAGGGAGGGATTGATGGATGGGTGGTGGATGGATGGAGAGAGGGAGACATGGGTGGTCGGATGGTGGATGGATAGATAGAAGGAGGAACAGATGGAGGGAGGGAATGGATGGAGATATGGATGAATGGGGGTTGAAGGGAAGGAGGGCTAGAGGGAGAGAGGGAGGGATGAATGGGGCATGAAGGGAGGGAAGGATAGATGGAGAGATGGATGGTGGATGGACAGATGGAAGGAGGGAGAAATGGATGGAGGGATGGATGAATGGTGCATGAAGGGAGGGAGGGAGAGATGGATGGATGGATGGATAGGGAATTACTGCTGCTGATGGGTTTGTTTTTCAAACAGAGATGGAGGGAAAACGGGTTTTTTCTTCTGGTCGGACCAGAGGAAACCATCTGCCATCATCCTGCTGCAGCGCTGTCCTTCCCCACCGTGCTTGGAGCAGTTTTCTGTGCTGTCACATCGCAACACGACATAAAACCCTAACGTTCCTTCAATGAGAAGTGGTCTGATCCTGCTAAGGGAGAGGGGGAAAAACCAGCAGCGATTCCTTTGGGAGCAGCCCAAGCCCTGGATTTCTCCAGCTTCATTACACAGCATGGATATATATATATAGATAGATATAGATATAAAACCTCAATATTCTCCTTTCCCCCCCATTTTCCTGCACACCTGACCCACCAGCAGCATGGGCTGTATTTAAAGCACGCTGGGTTTTGCTCAATAACACCAAGTTAAACCAATGCAGCCGTTTACGCATGCGCATTACCAGGCTCTGGTTATTTCAACCCAACCCTCTTTCTGAACACAGATGCATGGATTTGACCTTTTAGATCCCACCTTTCCCTCATATCCGAGGCGACCCCAGCACCCCGCAAGCCCTGTTTCCCCCAAATGAACCTTTTATTTTTGCCCAGACCGGTTTATATTATCCGTTTTACTGCAGCGTCCATTAGAGCCTGTAGATGAGGTGTTTTATTTAATGGAAGAGGTATTTCTCAGTTTATCCCCTTTGTCAAGGCCGTTTATTGAGCTCGGAGATTTATCACTGGGACAAAATGCTGGAAGGAGGAGAAGGAATGGTGAATGGCTCCTAAAAATGAATGTATCACTTCATTCTCCGTGCGGCCACACTTTCCCTCACAGCCGCGCGAATACACTTTAATCTCCTTTACCGGACTGCTCCGCCTGAGGCTAAAGCTTGCTTTGAAGACCGGCGCTTTAAGGGCACGGCGTTTTGTGAAGAAAAGAGAAATAAAACATTCAAAAGAAGCGTTCCTGAGGGCGAACACGGGCAGGAGGACGAGGGCCGGGGCTGCCCCCCCGGCTCCACAGCGCCGCCTCACCCACGCCTCGGCGGGAACCGCTTCACAAAATGGCCGCCCGGCGGGGCCGCGGCGAGCGGCGCTGAGGCGACAAAATGGCGCCGGGCGGGCAGCGGGGGGAAGGACGGGACGAGAGGCGCGGCTGGCGGGGCCGGGGCGGCGAGAGGGAGCTTCGGCCGTGCCAAGAGCTCGGCGGAGGGGCTCCTCCTCGTGTGCGCATCCCCTCCGGGAGGGCGGTGGAAGCGCTGCGGGGGAAACCAGACCTCCCCCCCCCCCCCCCTTTTTTCCTCACCGCCTTGACAAAAGGAAGCGAAAATCCGCCAGAACTGCTGCCTCAGCCCTCCTCCGGAGCAGGTCGCCGGCACCGACCCTTAAAATAGCTCTTACTTTTCCTCATAGCCTGCAGCTTTTTGGCCCCGAGCTGCCCGTTCCCTGCGCTCCCCCCATCCCCACCACACGCACCCCGGGGCGGGCAGGTCCATGCCTCCATTCCCTTCCACAGCTTTTCTCCTTCGAGCCGCCATGGAAAATACCCAAAACGTGCTGAAAAAAGAGCAAGAATCAACCCCAAAGCACCCGAGGATGGACGTGCCTTCCGAGCCGGAGGCGTGTGGGGAAGAAGAAGCCGTCGCCGCTCGTCTTGCTCCCGACGACAACCTGCCCGCCATAACGTTAATTAAAAGCATATCCTTCGTGTGGTCAGACGTGGTAATACTCTAAATATATATATCTATATATATCTATACACCCCTTAACATCCAAATGCTCGTTGTTGGAGGCTGCAGCCAAGGTACCACGTAGGCTTTTAATGTTGCTTTTAATGTTGCCTTCCCTTTTTCCTACCCCGGTGTTGTTACAGGGAACAGTTTAACATTGTCCCTTCTTTGTTCCAAACCGCAGCCCTAAACCACTGCTAGTTTTTAACCTGGAATGAGCAGATTTAGGCCCACATGCTTATGGCTCTTTCATTTCTACACATACAGAAGTATTTCTACCATATTTCTATATACATCGGAATCCCCTTTTTTCCTATGGACTGATTACAGAATATCAGCTAAACCCCCACACCTAAACCGCTGTGATTTAATTATATATAACCACTAATTTTGGCCCGTATGTACGTTTGATTTTATATATATATATGTATATATATTACCTTTGTTTTCCTCCATTGGCTTTCTACTACAACACATCCTAAAAGCACGAGAAAAAGGAAAAAAAGCCATAAAAAAAAGGAAAAACCAAGAAGGAACTCATCTCTCCTACGGTCCGTGGTGGAAGTGTGCCTGAATGTTTTATTTGTTCCACGGAGATGGAGATTTTGGGAGGATTTTTTTTTGCCTTTTTAATTAAAATAATTTACAAACAGCCAAAAAAATAAATAAAAAGGAAAAAGGATTAAAAAAGAAAAAACACACACAGAAACCCCAAACTGAAGCTGCAAATGAAAGAGTCCGGATCAGACAACTCATTGCGACAGAAGGAGACGACAAACGAGCTCCAGCGCAATGGCAGATCCGGGAGGAGGGATCAGCTCCTTTATCCCATCCTCTACCGCTCCACACACCACCATATTCCCTCTTATTTGTGTGTGCTCTGTGTTGGGGTGTTTGGTTTAAAAGCCGAGCCGGCTGCAGAGCCGCTCCTGCGCTTCATTTATATCTATATATCTATTTAGATCTCTTTTCCCCCCTGCACACACCCCAGCCTTGTGCAATCCTCTCCCGTTTATTAGGCGCTCCGCCGCTCGCTCTCTTCCCCCCCTCTCTGCGGGTATAAAGGTTTCTCTCCTCTTTCCAGCTCGGCTCCTTATTCCAGAAGCTTCCACGGGGGAGGGGAGCACCCACTGCGGAGCCTCTGCCGCAGAGCCGGGCAGGCGTGGTCCCTGCCGGAGGAGGAGGATGAAGATGATGATGAGGAGGATGCACCACTTCTCCCTGGCATCTTCTTCCCCCTTGCTAGATTTCCCCATCCATGACAAGGGTGCAGGGAGGTGTTTGCGAGGGTTTGTTTCTTTTTCTTTTTTCTTTCACATAAATTTGGTTTCTGGTTTGTTTTTTTTCCCCTTCCCCCTTCGCTAAATGAATTAAAAGCAGGGCTGTCTCCTGATGGAGATGGATGGGGCTGGCTCACAGCAATGGGGTTGCTGCTCGCTTCATCGGGCGCAGCGAGGCCACCGATGGCAGAAGTGACCTTTCCCAGGCGGTGGGAGGGCGGCGAACACCCCCCGCCCCGCCATGCTCCTGCTTGGAATTCATTTCAGATAGCAGGCTCGTTATTTTTCGGTTTCTCCTCCTTTCCCCTTAAACAACAGCTTTTTCACTGATGATTGTTGGTGTTTTTTTTTCCTTGAAGCTTCCTCATGATCGTGGGGGGATTTTTTTTTTGTGTGTGTGTGTTTTCAATTGCGTTTTTAAATTGCCCAGCTGGAGACAAGTCTTGATTAGAGTTGGAACAACAGCTCCATTTTATTAATAATGGGGAGGATTTACAATCCTACAGCACCTTCCTTGGAAGGCTTTCAAAACCGTTTGCAAACACTCCCGAATTGTAAGGTTTCACAGCCCTTGGCTGTGAGGTGGGTGAGTATTTAACGGTGCCACCACCCGGAATCACTCTGGTGGCAAATCTCTGCTTCTGAGTGCTTAAATAGAGGGCAGATTCGGTGGGGTTTAGGGCTGCAGAGCCGAACGGGGGTGGTGGGGGTGAGCGGGGCTGGCTAAAAGCTGTAACCCAAATCTGTTCAGTGTTCTCTGCGGATTGTTATGCTGCGCCCTGGGAACTGGGCTGGGATTTCTCCCCCTGCTTCGTGCAGGCAGCTCTGCAGTTTGCCAGGGCGAAGCTGTGGACCTGCCTGCTCGTCAGTAAGCATCTGCTTACAGATTGTGCCCTCCCCTCCCCCGTTTTACATTGTTTTAATTCATTACCTTTTTGCAGTCCCCAAGTGACCTCCTTCGGTGCTGGCTCTGCTGTGGTTTGACCACAGCTCTGCATTAAAGCTGGCTCCTAGTGCTAATGCGCCCTGCGAGCCAGAGCAACCCTGCCTGGGGGACTGGCCCCCACCGAGCTAATGCAGATGCTCTGTTTCCATGACAGAACCCTGCACACCACTGTTTCTCCAGCACATCCCTTTTCTGACCCAGGTAGCACAGGGGGACATTGCAATGTTATGGGTGGAAGCTTGTCTTACGCCTTTTCTCCCGTTTTTCTTCCTTTCCAGGGAAACACAGGATTGTTTGTGTAACCCCGCTCCACACCTTTGTAAGTATTACAACCACGCAGTGATCTCAGAGCCTCCTGGGCAGTGGGAGCTGGCCTTGCGGAGGAGCGGGAAGCATGGTGCTCTGGTTGTGTAAGTGTGTGTTGTACACGGGCCACAGAAACCCACAATGTTTCTGTGGTTACTACTGTCTGGATAGCACGAGTAGGTCCCAGGGCTTCCCCTTCCCACTGCTTACTAATTCACAAAAGCAGAGGCTTTGTGGAAAAAAAGCTCTGCCCTGTGGCCTTCACCAAAAATAAATAAATAAAGTGCTGTGGATTAGTCATCCTCGTTGTTAGAGGAAGCTGTGTTTGTCAGTCCTGTGTGTAACGTGTGTTGGGGGGCATGAACCAGCAGATTCATTCATGGCAGCTGGTAATGTGCTCTTGGTTGCTGCTCTGTGGAGCGGTGCCACTGAGGCTCCATCGAGCTCTCTTGGCAGGTGGAAAAGGGACAATCCAGCTTTCCATACCCTTCCCTCCTCCATTTTCCTTCCTCAGAGCTGGTATCTCTGCGTTGTCAGGTGTGGAAACATGGAGATTAACAGCAGTGAGGGCTGATGAGCTGTATTCTGGGGTCACTTCCAGTGCCAGAGAAGAAACCCTGGTGATTTACATATACTGTTTTTTTCCTGCCTGTAGTAGCTTTTACTCTAAGCTCCACTTGTATCAAAGAGAAGACCCTTTTGGATGCTCAAAGCTGTACTGTTTTTAAACCTTAGTGCCCTTTCCCCTTCCCCATGGTCCTATAGAAGAGCTGGGTGTGCAATTCAGTCGGTACAGCGAAGACAGCTCCCTCCCCCTTTCCCCTTTCAAAACCCCCTTCCCGAGCTGTGTGCTCGTGAACTGCTGCATAGGCAGAAAACATACAATGCACTTGTCAGCATTGTGCTGCTGTGTGGCACGTTAAAAAAATACACACAAAAGGGGTGGGGAGAACAGTTGCCTCCAGGGAGTAAAACTGTGGGGCCCCTTTCCCTACAATGAACAGACCTACATGTGGTAGTGTATTACTCTCAATTTTGCTAAAGCAAATGGCAGAAGGAACATTGCAATGGCCTAAATTGTGTTGGTGGAGATCAGTGTCCCCTTGAATCACGCTTTTTCCCCCTATGAACTTGTGCCTGTAAGATGCTGCTGGTTTATTACTTGATTCCTCAAAGCCATGCTGGCTCACAAGATGATCTGTTAGGTTAGATGGAAGCTCTTCCCTGTGAGGGTGCTGAGGCGCTGGCACAGGGTGCCCAGAGAAGCTGTGGCTGCCCCATCCCTGGCAGTGCTCAAGGCCAGGTTGGACACAGGGGCTTGGAGCAAGCTGCTCCAGTGGAAGGGGGTCCCTGCCCATGGCAGCGGTTGGAACTGGAGGAGCTTTAAGGTCCCTTCCAACCCAAACCATCCGGTGATGTTATGAAGAAGGCCAATGCTTCTTTACTGGGTGCAGCTCCTTTTGTGGTGTTGTAAAAAGCACCCAGTGCTGGTCTTCCCGAGGTCACAGGTGACTTCACGGCACAGAGTCATTAGTGCACAGGGAGTGTTGGGTATCGGCACCTTCCTGTTAGCCTCCTGTAATGAGAATATTGGCATCGGTGTCGCATGCCTGCCTCTGGCTGACCATGGAGAGGCCTTGCCCAGCGAAGCTGGAGCAGCACCATGTGGGAAATGCAGGATTCCCTGCCAGTGTCCCCCTGCTTGCTGCAGGTTTGTAGCACAGCTCTGACTTCATGCTTTTTTTTGGCACAAAAAATGAGTGCAGAGCAAGTATGAGGTGTCCAGGCCAGCTTTCATACTGTGCTCCTGGGAAAGCTGGTGTGTGGTGTCCTATGAAAACTGCCAATAGCTCCTGTGCCTGAGGCCTCGGCTGTACTTGAAGTAAATCACCACGGACAGGGATATGACTTTTATTCTCTCATCAGGGATGTGTTGGTTTGGAGATGCACCTTGTGCTCCTCAGAGGCCTCTGCTGGCATGGAGGGACCCTGGATTGAGAAGCTGGCTGCTTGGGATGTTCCCATATTTTCCAGGTTGGCACATCCTGTGGGGCTCGGGATTAATTTTCTTCAGCAGTTTAGGACAAATGAGGGAGAATTGCCCTGTGAGAGCTGAACCTTCACCACCTCTGCTTTGGACTGAAGAGTTGCTACTACTATATCCATGGCGTTTCCAAGCTAAACACTTCTGGTGCCAAAAAGCAGGTGAGCAGTAGAAACCTCCGTTCCATAGCAGGGAAAACCATGGTCTTTCAAGCTTTTCTGTTATCCCATAGAGTTAAAAAGCTGCACCATGAGATCTGCAGAGGTGAAATGAAAGCAAAGGCCACTCACGGAACCCTTCTCCTGCGCTGTATTGCTGTTACATTTCCTTAGTGTCTTTCTCTGAAGGGGGAGAGCCATAAGCACACCAACATGTGTTCCATCTGCCTCAAACACCAAGTTGCTCCAGTATCAAAATGGTGTTTGATTGAACAAAAGCTCTGGTAGTGGCTGGCTCAGTGTTTATTTTGTGCTGATCAATCTGATGGGGAATGTGGGGAAGAGCAGCCTTAAGCTGACAGGTTTGGACTTTGGGTTTTGTATTAAAACTTTGCTCTGCAACAGCTCCAGTGTAATATCTGGGATTTTTTCTTGGGCACATAGGGCTTCTACGTAGAAATAGTGCAACAATAGTACAGGATGCAGTGATCTATCCCATCGTGAGGGATTTCTATCCATTGGAGTGGTCCTGTTTGGGTACCAAATCAGACAGGGCTGGCTGTTTTTTGTTTTTCCCCAAAAATGTAATCTTTTGCAGCCTGGAAGACTGAAGTCCTCTCTGTTTAGCTGGTACAATGCCCTGTCTTTGGGAAAACCCCTTGTGAGGTGGGCAGGTTCAGCTCTATGGTACGTGGTCACACAGAAGCTGAGGGGCAGGGGGAGCAGCACTGTGATAATCCTCTTTTTTCCCCAACAACAGGCAAAAGTATGGGTTGTTATATATAAATACATAATATAGAAATAAAAATTCTAATATATGTACTAAGAATAAGCTCTTCTGCAGTCTTGTGCTGGCACGCGGTGTTTCGGTTGCGTGGCTCGGCCATCACACTGGACTCTGCTGCTGAAGAAAACTGAAATGAGAAAAACAGAAAATAGAAAATAAAATTATTTAGCAAATAAATTACTAAATAACGGGTTTGGAAAATGTGGAGGGAGTGTTCTGGGGGGGGTCATCTCCTCATGAACAGCTGGAGCAGTAACACTCAAAGGGGAACAAACCAAAATGACTAGCTTTATTAATACAAATCCCGTATTTTGTGTTACCTAGGATCCGGAACCAGACTTCGTGTCCAAAGCATTATCTGTGTGTGAGCTGATCTCCTCTGTCTTGGCAACAAATGAGCCCAAATAGCAAACAGCACCAATGCCTTCTTGGAGAAAATTATCCGTCGCATAAAACGTTAATGGGTAAGCAATAAAATTAGGTCTGTAATTCAGGCTTGGCTTAAAACTGAGCTAAAAGCCTCACTGGCATTTGGGTATTCAGCTGCCATAGCATCGTTTTAATAAATAGAGTCAATGAGCAGGAAAGGGCTGTAAATAAATACAGTTTATAGTGACAAGATGGTGGCTGGAGCTGGGTGGCTCAAACAAAGAAATGCTCTGTGTGTTCCTCGTGATGTCTGAGGGCTCCCATATGGGTAACCTGTGGTTTTCCAGTAAAAAACAAAGCAAGTGGGATGTGCACTGGATGCTATTGAGGGGGGATTGCTGTGTGTCACTAATGTGACTGCTCTAATCCATGCTGGATGTCACTGTCCGTGTCCCCAGCTATGGGGAGAGGTGTAACGCCTTCCTTCCCGACTCCAGCCGTGCTCCACAGATCAATTGCTACTCTGGGACCCAGTGTAAGGAGTTACACTCGTGTACATGGAGCTCCCGTTGCTGTGTTTGCTTCTGAAGTGTTTGGCAAGCCATCCTGGTGACACGTGGCAGCGAGTTGTGCTGCATGGGTAAGATGCTGCTGTGTTCAGAACATAGAAACTTGCCTTTTCTCTGGTGTTTGGTGTTCCCTCCTCGAAGGGAGGCTGTCTCTAGCTAGTCTGCGGACCCCAAGGATGGTTTCTGATTCTCCTGCCCCTTTTTCTCTCCTCCAAACTGGTTGCTGCTAACGTTACTAGTTCTTTATAAGGCAGCCCCATTTTCTCACGCCTTTAATGGTTCTCTTTTGATCTGCCCTGTTCTTGCTTTGATTTTCTTGCCGTGGACACGGCGTTCAAGCTGAGATGGGTTTATAACCTCATTAATATGTAGCCTGGTGCTTTAATCCTCTCCAACTGCCGATAAGAAACGTCGCAATGTTTTCACTACAGGGTTGACCGAGATGTCCGGAGATAGCCGGGTTCTCGGCTACACCCACAGGAGTAACTCATGTTGCTCCTCAAGGTGTGCCAGGCTCTTGTGTGTACCGAAAGCTGTTGGGCATTGGAGAGCTGCTGGAGTCCCCGTGTCCTAAACTCTCTGCCCCCCTAGGATAGGTGGCACATGGGAATGAGTGTCCGTGCCTTGCCCCTAGATGCTCATTGTGGTGTTGCCTGTGGCAGTGTTGCCAGCTGCCATGTAGGAGCAGCCCTCCATCAGGGAGGTGCCTTTTGCTGGGTGCATGGTTCTGCTCATGCTGGTCTCTAGCCTGGGTCTGTGTTCTTCAAAGTCTTCCAATGAGTTGTTACAGCAACATCCCAGTGTTGTAACTGGAAATGTTTCCCCTTCAAAGCATTTCAGAAGTACTGGGATGTTCCAGATCTTTATTTGCGTCACCAGCCAGGCTTTGTGCTCCTCTTCCAGTTGGCTCTGGCATGGCAGAGCCCAGGAAGAGCTAATTTCAACTGTGTCTTTCCTGTCAGCAGAGCTGACAGCTTTGCTTGCTACAGCTTCCAATCCATGGACATCCCTCTCGGACCCTGCTTGAGATTCCTTGAGAGACCTGGGAGCTGACGCAGTTTCCTTGTGTCCCTTAGAGGTGCCACCCTGGCAGGGAGGGAGAAAATCAGCATAGAAGAGCCATTTGGTGTGTGGTTTAGGTTTCTTCCCCTCCCAGATGGGTGCCTGTGGAGCCTGTTGAAGGTATGGACATGTAGCAAGCGCTCTCTGTGCTTCCAACCAGCTGAAACAGAGAGCAAAACCTGTTCACATCAACGTGCGGTGGAGCACGCTGGCAGCGCATCTTCTCGTGTCTACGTGGCTCCATCACAAGTTTTAAATAATAGATGGTTTGTGTGCAAAGGTCCATTGGTTTTATGTTAGGTTCATCAGTAGATCTTGCTTTGGTGGAGCAGCTAACACCCATCATGGCTGGGGAAACTGAGGCACGGGGCTGGTTCGGGATGGGCTCGTGGTCGAGGGGTTGGGGATAGCGCTCATGTTGACGTGCGTCAGAGCCTGATTAAATCAGGAGATCCGTGTGTTTGTTAAAGCACTGATAGCGCGATGACTTTGACCACTTCTCAAGGTGGACTTGTTGCCAGGAGGTTACAGTGGCCCTGGGGAAGGGTCTGGCCAAACTGGAGGGGACCATGACAAGAAAACATGGTTTGGATTGACAGAAAAGTGCTGTTGGGAGGTTTTGGCCAAGGAAAATGGGGGAATATTGGTATTCTGAGCTGAAAACTGCTAATGGGCTTCAAGAAAAATACTGTTGTGGCCATGGGTGTGCGTTTTATCCTGACCTCAAGCTGTGTGGAGTCACACGGTGGCAACTGGTTGGGTATGTTCAATTTAGGGTGTAGAAATGGGTGGTTTTATCTGTACAGCAGCACGTTTCATAGAAGCACAGGGTAGTTTGGGTTGGAAGGGACCTTAAAGCTCACCCAGCTCCAACCCCTGCCATGGGCAGGGACCCCTTCCACTGGAGCAGCTTGCTCCAAGCCCCTGTGTCCAACCTGGCCTTGAGCACTGCCAGGGATGGGGCAGCCACAGCTTCTCTGGGCACCCTGTGCCAGCGCCTCAGCACCCTCACAGGGAAGAGCTTCTGCCTGATACGGTGCAAAACAAGACCCTTTGGGCTGAAAACCGTTCTGCCCCATTGCAGAGTCTCCCATTGAGCAGCGCCATATTCACCATGAGTGTTTCCTTCACCCCATCTTTAATCACAGAGCCATGGTGGGTGGAGAAGGGATTCGAGGGTGTGCAGCTGAATCCTCCCAACAGGAATTCCCATGGCCTTCCCATTCTGGGGAAGGGTTCTGGGGTAAGCTTTACCTTTTGCAGTGCACCCCTTTATTTTTGGCAATGTACCCCCTTCTTTTTTGGCAGTGTATCCCACTGTTTTTTTGCAATGCAGCTCTTTGTTTTGCACAGCACTCTATTTTATTACACAGCACCCTACTTTTAGCAATAGCCCCTTTTATTTTTGCAGTGCCCCCCTTTGCAGTACAACCCCCTTTATTTTCAGTGTACCACCCCTTTTTTTGCAGTGTCTCCCCTTTTTATAGCCCCTTCATTTTTCAATGTACCCCCTTTATTTCTTGCACAGCACCCCATTTTCTGCAATACATCCCGCTTTAGTTTTGCACTACACCCCCTTTATATTTTGTTATGCACCCCCTTTATTGTTTGCAATTCACCTTTATGTTTTGCAGTGCAGCCCCCCTTATTTCTTGCATAGCACCCTTTTTGCATTGCACCCCCCTTTATTTTCTGCACTGCCCCCCCTTTTCAACCCACCCCTTTACATCTGCAGCACAGCCCCCTTTATTCTCTGTATACCCCCCCGTTTCTTGCAGTGCCCCCTTTATTTCTCCCAATTCACCCCGTTTTTGGCCATTCACCCTTCGTTTTCGCACCGCCCCCCCTTTTGCAAGGCCCCCCCTTTACCCCCGTTTTTTACAGCACAACCCCTTGATTTTACCAATCCACCCCATTTTCTCATTGCCCCCCCCATGTTTCCCATCGCAACCTCCTTCCCTCCCCCCCAACTTGCTCGCGCCGCCGCGCAGGCGCACTCCCGCCGCTCTCCCCGCTCACGAGGGCGGGGCGTTGCGCGCCCGCGCTCAACCCCCGCCGGCGGTCCCGAGGCGCGCGCCCGTGGGGAGGGGGGGCTCAGTGCGCGTGCGCGTGCGCGGGGCGGGGGGGGGGGGGGGGAGGAGAAGGAGAAGGGGGGGGGGGGCTTGGGGCAGGATCCGCGCTGCCGCTGACGGAGGAGGAGGAGGAGGAAGCGGGAGCGAGCGAGCGAGGGCCGCGGCGGGGGGAGGCAGCGAGGAAGAAAACCCTCGGCGGAGGGGGAGCCCGCGGCCCGGCAGGCAGGGGGCCCCCCCGCAGGGGATGGTGTCGTCCGCCGCGGGGGGAGGCAGCCGGCGGCGCTGAGGGCGGCAGGGCCCCGCGGCGGAAGAGGCGGAGGGCGGCGGGGAGGAGGCGGAGGAGGAGGAGGTGGCGGCGGCGGCGGGCAGCGAGCGGCGGCCGGCAGCGCTGCGCGGGGAGAGGCGGCAGCGAGCCGGGGCAGGGGCGGCGGGCTCGCCCCGCGCCGCGCAGCATGGTGCGGGAAACCAGGCACCTCTGGGTGGGCAACCTGCCGGAGAACGTGCGTGAGGAGAAGATCATCGAGCACTTCAAGCGGTGAGTGCGGAGAGCGGGGGGGGGGAAAGGAGGCTCCGGAGGGGCCTTCCCGCGCCTTCGGGTCGGTGTCCGCGGCCGTCCCGGCCCTCGCTGTGAGGAAAATGAGGGTGAAAACGCCGTCAAAGATGGAAATAGCGGGGAGGGAGCGGGGGAACGGGGCTGCCGCGGCCTGCGGGGAGCAGCAGGAGGACAAAATCGCTGTAAATAACCCCGCGCCATGGCGAGGAGCGTCCGCAGAGGGACGGCGGCGTGGACGGGCCGAGGAGCATCGTCCCCGTGTGATAACACCGGTAATAACAGCACCGACGGCGGAGCGCCAGCCGCGTGTGGGAGCTGCGCCCGGAGTGGATCTCGTACCGAGGGGTGCGCGGTGCCGGAGGCAGCCCCAGCTTGGCCATCTTGCTTTTCTAACCGCCGTTTTCCACCCGGAGCCAACGTTTGGAGTTCTCTCTCGTCGTTTCCCCGCCTTTTTTGCCGTGTTTTTCCTCCGCCTTGGAGCCATGAGGATGCTGCGTGTGTGTGTGTGTGCGTCCCGCAGCGAGCGCTGGGAACCGAAGCGGCTGCAGCAGCGAAAACGTGACTTAAACACACGGTCGTGTCCGTCCGTCCCCCCCCCCCCAAATCACACCGATCCCCATGAGGAAAACACGGGATTCCTGCCCGCGGGAAGCGCTGCGGATTCCTGACGATATCGTGGCTTTTTTTGGGTTTCTTTTTCCCGTTTTTTGTTGTTGTTGTTGCCGAGGTTAATCCTGCTCATAAGGAAGTAGTAGCTGTTTGCATGGTTGTGTTTTCTTTTCCTCCTCCCCATGTCTTTTCATGCGAGGAGGAGGAGGAAGAAGAGGAGGAGGCAGCAGCTTCTCCCCCGCTGCCTCAGCAACACCTTTTTCCTCGGGAAACGCACAAAGTTGATGGAATCGTTTTTATTTTTCACCATTTTTAGGGGAAAAAGAAGGTCAGGAGCCCCGGGGTGGCTGCTCAGCGCATGGTGCTCCAGCAGGGCTGTTACACACACATAAACACACACCCCACCGAAGGAAAAGGATTTTAAAGCTTCCTTTAATCTTCCTGCGTTGGAAAAATGACGGCGCGTCCTTAATAATGAGTCACCATGGGAAAAATAGATGCGGTGACACTGAGGGGGAAGGAAGGTCCCGGCTCCTGCTCGTACCCCATCCTCACAGCACCCAAAATGGTGTTGGGGACCCGGTTGAGGTGACGGGTGCATGGAGGCACCCTCCTGGGCTGCATCTGCAGCAGCGGAGCTCCATCCCGGCATCGCCAGCCCTCGGCATTGCCCTGGTGTAATG